TTTGGTTTTTACTCCCCCCCCCCCCCCCCCCCCATTCGCGCCTCTCTCTCCTTCTCTCTCTCTCTCTCTCTTCCTCCTTGTGTGTTTGTGTGTAGTGTATGTGTAAGGGAGGGTGTATGCCGTTTTCACATAGTCCTGGCATGCACTGACAAGGTACCGATATTATTTTGAAAATAAGTTGTAACGCATAGGCCTATATATATGTATATACACACGCACGTCTGAAACGGGGGCGTCTCGATAGTCCGAAGGTTCATTGGTCCGAAGGTTCATTGGTCCGAAAAGTGGTAACGTTTTCATCGATTTTTTAATCAAGGGTTCATTGGTCCGAAGGTTCTATAGTGAATATTCGGACCAATGAACCTTCGGACTATTGAAACTTCGGACTATTGCTACGGCCCCTCTGAAACCAGTTTTGCAGTGCCTTTTCTTAGTTGACTTCTTCATATGCACATTAATATTACCGTTGCCAGCTTATTTTCTCAGTAAATCACATTTTATTAGGCCACCTGGAAAGTACTGAAGGTTTTAGCGAAGAACATTGCCAACACTGGACACTTGAGCTTCAGTCCGCAGTGGCACAGGTGCGGCATTGGTGAGAGCGATTGTCTCGACTACGAGATGGGGGCGGTGACTGTTACCAGAGTGGAGCATGAAGGGGAGGAATCACGAAACCCCAGGTGAGGCAGATGATAAACTGTGAAATAAAGAAATTAAACGTTTTTTGTTGCAAATTTAGAGAACAAAAACACTTTTTTTTTTGTTTTTGCAAGTTTAATATAATTTCTGAGTGGTCCATTCTCGCGATTTCTGAAGCAGCACGCAATTTTGCATACATCACAGTACCGAAAGGTGCACAGAATGGGCCAGAAGAAATATCTGTGAATTGTAAGTATCTAGAGAAAAATCTCTGTGGTCCTGTGTAGATGGTACCTTCATTTTGCAAATTGGTTTTAGTATGATATTTAGTTCTAAGCCTGAGATGTTATTAGTTTTCAACATTTACCTGACTTCCAATATCTCCCTTGCAAATTATTCTAAACTTTGAGCAAAGGACTCATACGATTTTCCATTGATTCTGTGTTCCAGAAGAATATGGAGCAAGCTTATATCATTGGGGTGGTACTTCTATAATGCTGCACTCAACACCTACGGCAACTCGTGGTCACGGCAGAAGTGCGTGGAGTGGTACAAAGCAGACAGAAAGAACGAGGCGTGGCAGTCCGAGCTCCCAGCCTGCCCGTGCACCCTGGACCAAGCCTTGGCGGATTTCGGCCGTTGGCAGGCTGACGTGGCGTGTGACATGAACACCGGGAGCGTGTGTGCATTCCACGTCGGCGCAATCCACTGTGTGAGATCGGTTCAGGCCACGTAAGCAGGCAACAGTGATATCAATTCTCCCTAGATTCCCATCTGGTTTAGTAAAATTAGAATAAATAATGACACACAAATCTCATAATTTTTAAGTCTCTCCCGTTTTAAAGTATGAAACAATTTTTTGTTGTTGTAGTTGTTGCTTACTGTATATGCCTGGTAAAGATTTTTTTCATATCGCAAATGCGAGGAATGTTTATGAATAACACCTAGAAAGGTAACTGATAAAATAAACAAAGCTTATATTAGCAGCTATATATCATTGAATACTAAAATGGTATATGAGGGACGTCTGGGCCATGTTTAACGAGCCCGTTAATTTCTTTATAGCTCTGCGGGAGCGGGAAATCAGTGCTGTTATAGAAAGGACGGTATGCTCATGACCACTGTGGACACATTCAACGGCAGCACGCCGGACCGGAGTCATGCCTGGGGGGACAGGCCTTACGGAACACCGCCCAAGGTAGGGGCGGTTGTACACAAGCCATTATCAAAAATGCCCACATCTACAATCTTTGATTTTGATAAGGCAAATGTTTGTGAACAAGTACTTTTTCTCGTGTAATTTAGGGTCTTTCTGTTACTGTGGCAAATTATTTCTCTTTTGACATATATATTGCACATTTGAACGCTTCAATTTGTGACGTATTCTTACTCATATTTCACAAAAAATATGTTCAGGCGGGATTGATGCAAATTCTCTTGGGTGTCATGCAACTCAACAATGACAACTTTAAACGATGAACCAAGAATCACTTTCCAAATTAACATTGGTCCATTCACGACTTCCAGGTGCCCGCCTTGTCTCACTGGATTCATGATGTTGTCCCGTTCTTCTACTGCTGTTTGTGGACGGGTGATAGTTGCCATTATTACATGGAACAGAGACCTACCTCGGACTGCAAGAACTACAAACCACCCAAACCAGGTTATAATATGAATATAATGCAAAATTAATATAAGTACGAAAACAAAGTTGCAGTGTGTGTCTGTGAGAGAGAGAGAGAGAGATCCAGAGCTATCCCAATCCAACTAATTTTTTCCTCCCGTTTTAGCTGTGGTATATGGCGACCCGCATCTTATCACACTGGACGGTAGACTGTACACATTTAACGGGAAGGGGGAGTACTTGTTACTGCGAGACACGCAGCACAACTTCCAACTCCAGGGAAGGTTTGGCCAAACACGTGAGTAAGCTGTTTATCTGTTATGTAGTATATATACGTATACGCATGGCTTGTTTCCCGAAATGTGTCAAAATTGCAGTAGACTAGTTTTTGTTGTTATAAATAGTCAAGGTTGGTATTTTACATATTTACATCCTAAAGAAACGAAACTGGGTTGATATCTTGCAGTCGTTATGCAAGTGTGAATTTTCGGCACCCAGCTCGCTACTAAAAGTATATCCACGTAAACCAAGTAAACCGGGTTTTTACAATTGATACGATCAGCCAAATGGCGGTCAAATGATGGAGATGGTAACATAAAATGAGATTTTAAACGTTTTAAAACTGTTAAATAAAAATGGGATGTTTTTCCCCTTAGTTCCAGACGTCAAAGCCACGGTGATAAAATCTATAGCAATGCGGGAGGGGGCGCTGTCCGATATTATAGAAGTCAGAATCAATCCCCCAGGAAGCAACTGGAAGAGAGATCTGACCATATTGGTGAACCACGAGGTCAAGCATTTTGAAAGGAAAGGTGAAAGAACGCAGGATTTTAAAGGTAATATATTATAGTGTAATCATTATAGATAATACAAATATATGAAATGGAATTATACGATATGATTTTCATGTTGTTTGCAGCGTGGAGAAATACAAACAGCTTTCGGCTATTTTTTTTTTAAATTCCTGTAATGTCCCCTCTTCCTCTGCAATAAACTCGACTCAGTTTCTCATCCACTTTTAAGAAATGCCGATATGTAATCTTGTCTTATTCCAGGCGGCGTGACGGTCATCAACAACGACCCACGGCGTTCGTCCAACATCACAGTGTACTTTGAGTGTGGCATAGGGGTGCAGGCAACGGCGCTGGAAGGTCTACTTAACGTGGTTGTCATGGCACCACCATCTGTCAAGGTAACTATGGCAACCCTTGTGGTGATGACATCCGCGCAGCGTGCGGTTTAAAAACTGTTTTCATCACTTTTATATTGACAGTGAAAATATGCTATTGGTGTTGAGTAAGGTTATTTGACTCTTGGTTGTACTTTAAGTTTCAGACACAAGGATTATTCGGCAGCTGGGATGACGACGCTAGTAATGATATAAATGGCACCTCGGCCGTCCAAATTCACAACTCAAGCGAGCAGTGTAAGAAAATGCTTTACTATATGTAATTTCGTTGTACTAGCTGGCTCTCTATTTTCTCTAGTCTGTTTGAATTGTTTGTGACTTTTGGTTGTTATATTACAATAATAACCATTAGCTAGATTATCAGGGCTGTTGAGTAAGTGAAACTGTTTCATGGTAGTCGCAGCCAGCCATACGTCCCCATGTATGCTTCCAGTTTTGCAATAAAGCCAGTAAGCCAACGTATGAAATGACTGTAAATGAATCTTATACTAGTAGATTGATTATTCAGTATTTGCTACTACCCCTTGCTGCATTTTAAATAAAAACGCTTTTTTATATTTAGGGCGAATTTCAGAAAAATCTTCCCTTTTTACGTACGGACCTCGTAGCTACGCGTTCTACCAGGATCTGGCGTTTCAGCCGGCCGCCATCAACTTTACCGCCATTCCCTCCAGGAGACCGGAGGTGGCGACGCTATGCGGCAGTAATCAACAGTGTGCCTACGACTACGTTGTCACAGGAGATGAGGCGATTGCAAGAGGGACGCTGGCAGCGGCGCGGCAATATGAAATTTTGAAGGAGAGGACAAAACCTGGTGAATATTGTTCAGCTGTCGCTCAGATTTATTATATCAAACATGTTATCAGATAATCACTCAACATATAGGCCTATTCTCAGTTTGTTGTAGTACAAAATCTCACATAATATTTCCTAATATTTCTTGATCAAAATTATAATTGAACATCGGATTAATTCTTCATATTTGTGTTTCTTATTTGGAGAGGCGCATTTTATTATCTTTATTGCAGTGTATTTGACTGCTTGGAATCGGATTCTTACGTCTAATTGTTTAAGTGTGTCTGATAAGCATCCAATCTTTCTTTTTCTGTAACAGTCCAAGCTTGCGGTATTTTGGACATTGAAAACTCCATCAAATTAGTCGACAATTACCTGCTTGGTGGCAGGGTGACCGTGACGGGCTGCCAGCCAGGCTATGAATTGTCAGGAAACAATGTCTCCTTCACGTGCAGCTTAAACGGCACTGGGGCGGCGGCGTGGTCCCCACTTCCCACCCTCACCTGCGTCATAGAACAAGAAGGTACTTCACAGATTAAAGTCAGAACTCTTTTAATAGGTCTTTGAAATAAAATATTAATTTTGCGCATTATGCCTACGGTAGTAAAATCGTCTCGGGAGCATCGTATTTGAAAAAGAGCAGTGCCCACTTTTACAGTTTAGTAAAATCAAAAATCCAAATTGAATTGAAAAAAACCAAAATGGACAAATGCCGTCGTGCAAATAGCGACAATTTTGCTCACTTTGCTTGTGTCACTTATGAGTATGAATGAAATTAGTAAATTATGACATATTTCAACAATTTCTCATCATGTTTAAAATAACATACAAAAACCACTTGCGTTGTCTTCTTTCCAGTCAGTAACGAGGCGCAAATTCAGTACGCGCGGACCACGGCCACTGTGCTTGCGGTGCTGTTACCGACATTCTTCGTATTCTTGGTGCTAGGGGCCGGCCTCACCTGGTGGATTCATTCACGGTCACGAGGTGTAACAAAGTGAGTGTAATAGTACAGAGTCGATACATGATCTTGTATTTCTCATGAAGTGATCATTTGGCTTTTTAAAATAAATAAATAAATAAATAAATAAATAAATAAATAAAAACAGATAAATCACCCATGTTAACTCTTCCATAAAGTAACAGATAAATCGCCCATATTAACTCTGCCATAAAATCACCTATTTCCAGATCTCGCACCCCGGAAGATGAGCTCGCAGGCGGTCGCCAGGAGGGTGACGGCGGAGAGGGCCATGGAATGACGGCCTACCATAAAGAAAACCTGTATACCCTAGCCGAGGAAGACGAAAGTTATGTGTTTGTCAATCAAGCAGAGATAGAAACATTAGAAAAGTCAAACCCAAATTTAAATAAGTCAAAGGAAAGCATTGGCAAGTCAACTCATGTGTGACAGTGGAAGTCCAAGCGTCGACAGATGAAACTCACAAACGTAATGGTTATTTGCAAGTTTGTACCAAGCATGGGGAACAAATTCACAAGTGCTTTTCACAATACTATATGAATTTGTCCACAATGGGGTCATTTCCAGCGTTTCATTATATGACGACTGTGAACTGGCGTGCCTTTTGTAACCTGGTGCTTCACTCCCAATTATGTCACCTTGGAGCAAAGCGCTCATACTGTGCCAAATGCCAGAGGTCGTTTTTTTTTTTTAATTTTTAAATTATTTTTTATTTAATAGGTAGCTCGAAAACAATTCGCATTTATACTATGTACAGATTATGTTTAAAAAGACAAACTGATGCAGATTACTTGTCGAATTTTGAGCGATGTTAAAAAGAACGAGATGCCAATCATCGTTATGTAACACCATAGAGATCTACATCTCAGTATTACGACGATGGCAGTCGCCAATCATAGGGCAGTGCCACGTTACGTGTAATTCAAGGGCCGTGACACTGGCCAGCAGCTTGTTAGCCTTCAAGGAATTGATAAGACTTGGACCTGGACATTGTTTTGAGACATTACAAACCCCCGGCAAAGCAAGGGGCAGTGCCTTTTTTTTTTTAATAGTAGTACAACAGCCGCTGTAAGCTGAAATGTGAAAGACAATTTGTTCAGCATGTAATTTTTTCATTTTTGGTCTCTGTTTTAATATTAAATGTTTTATGTCTTATTTCAAATATCTTGCTGTATTTTATTTATGGTTGCTGTTGATTTATATGTATAATATTTTGGTGTGCTCCAATTAAGGAGAGTGGATGGGGAGGGGATCAGCATGAAGTCAACACACACAAACCATGTACTTTTCAAGTATGCTTAAAACTGAACATTTATTTTGTATGGTCATACAGTTGTTCCAGCACATTACTGGATCAGGGATGAAGTATTTTTCATTTAAATAGTTAACCCAACAACCTTGATGTCATGTCCACACACCCAGGACACTGTCCAGTCCAACTGGACACTGCTAGGACCTTGACACTACAGCATCAAGTTTGGTGCATTGCTGCACTTTTTTAAAAATTAAAATATCACTCAGCCGCACCTGTAGCTGGCAATAAAATACCCCTAAGAACAGGAGCAAAGTAAACGCGCCAATCTTCAATCTTTTGTTGGCCCTCGATATTTCATCAATATGACCTCAAAAAAGAATATTACCTCTTTTTGCCTTTTTTCCGGGATTTTGTCCCTTTTAAAACAATTTTCTCAGGCAAGCAAAGCATCCACAACTAAACATGAATTCCGGTGTCTGAAAATCAAAGTCCTCGCTTCAGTGTATTTAGTTCGAACTTAGCCGCTACCTTGCAGCCAAACTGCTTCGCAACCCCTCAGCTCTGCTGAGGGATTTCCTTAATAACCATAACACAATAATCACCACAGAAATAACCTGAACAATCTAACAAATATTCTTATAACAATTTAAGAGTTTCAACTATAATAAAAGCAACAATGACAGGTAAACACCCATCTATACATTAATGGCGGTAATTTTACCTACGCCTATCAAACCACACAGGGAAGCCACAGTGGCACATCCAAAACGCAAAGCCAAACACAACAAATTTGTTAGAAACTATATAATTAATGACAAAACTTACACACTCCATAATAAAGTACCAAATTACAAAGGTAAAAATTCAACAACATCGGAAAGAAATTTAAGTACATTGAAAGAACATTCCTCGTCTTTCTCGCCTCAGTCTAGTCCAACTTGGCAACCATATTGCTTCTTCTACAAATGGATTAACATACTTCAACCAAAGAAAGAAGTTTTTTCTCTATCCACTATGCATCCACCTTTGCCCTTCAAGCAGTTATCATAATCATCAAACAAAAAGACCACTTCTCACAGGTATTGTTATCATAAATCAGCAAACCCATAAATCAGACAATGAAACCTTCCACTTTATTGGTCGCCTTAATAAATACTATCTTCTTAACTAAGAATACTTGATTGCAATAAACTGGCTATCAACCAATACAACAAGAAAAATATAACATTACACTGAAAATTCAAACCTGAACATTGAAATTTTACTTTTGGTTAATCATTGCTATGTGCACAAAACCTAGCTACTAACTAACTAACGATGCCCAGGTTATTTCTGTGGTGAAATTTACAATACTATTCCTTTTCAAATCTCTCTCCCTCATGAATCCAAAACCTCCAAGGCAAAAACAATGTGGTAAATAGTGGTATTATCTTTTTAATATTGAATATTTTCATTGTAGTGAATTGCTACACAGTTGATTAGCAGCATCCTAGAAATTTTACACCTTATTATTCATGTGACAAACAAAAGTCACAGAATCCAGTTTTCAATCTTAACCCAAATTTCTTTCAAATCATTTCCCTATTCTACACACTTGAACCATATCAGTATGTGCCTTGGAGGTTTGCATTCATTTCATCATGTTGATGTTTTATTCATCCTCTGTCTTGTTCGGTCCAAAGCTCCATCCACTGGTGCCCCCTGGTGCCCAGATACTGCTCAGCGTATTGAATGGATCAAAACTGCCCACATCCTGGAAAACACACATTTGCCCACTGAGAGAAAACCCCTAGATTCATATCTGAACCTTTAACAAATAACTCATCAGAAAATCTGACGATATATTGAAACTAGTTAAAATACAGTTCTTTCAGAATGCTTTTCACAAGGATACTTTGATCAAGGAACATTAATTAACCTTTATAAAAATCTTTTTGATGCTTTTCAAAATAACTTTCTGCTTCATTTTCCTCAACTGGTTTTACCTTCTATTGGACTCATTCAGGAGAATTTGAAACCAGCCCCCAAATCTCTCCCTGACACATACACACACTTGTGCGTGCTCACACGCACACACGCACACACACACACCAGGCCAGTTCCTCAACCCCCCTCTACTAACCTGTACCCCTTGTTCATTCTCAGCAGCTGTCGTGTTCACACTGCCGAGTCCTGACAGGGGAGAGTTGGCACTGCCACTCAGTAGAGAGGCGCTGCCACTTCCCGCAGGCCCCAGGAGGGAACCACCAGCACCATTCAGAAGAGATGGACTGCCTGTGTCGCCACTGGTGGCAGCGCCGCTCCAGATCCCTGGTGCCGAATGTGGTGACCAGCTGCTGGTGTCAGAGGTGGAGATGGTGGTGGGGATGTCACTCCACAGGCTGGCCTGGGAATAGCACAACAAACATCATTGAGATATGTGGAGAACTAGGACCAAAATGTGGTCACTTCACAATTTCTACTTAATTTTAATCAGATGTTATTGTAAATTTTTTCATCAACTTCATTATCAACTGACTCAAAAATTCAAAGCAGCTAATCAAAATTTAAGCAAAATCAAAGCACTTGGCCACTGGTAAAAGTGAATAGGGTGAAGACAGCTCCCTTGTGTTCATGCACACACACTTACTTGCACCCTGGGTGGCGACTCTGCTACAGTGGGCCAGGTCTCTCCAGCTGGGGTCTCCGCCAATGGCGACCACGTCTCACTGGGTGCACAGGTACTGTCCCAGAGACTCTCTGCCTGCACTGGGTTGATGTCAAAGCCGGGCCAGTCTTCACCTGGAAAACAGTGCCATCAGTCAGGGTGAGCACTTGGTTTTTATGTCATCATAGTCTCTAACACCAACAGCCAGAATCAGTGCTACTGATCTATAATACTTAGGAGCAGTAACCTTCTTCATGAAATTAATGAGATTACAAGACAGTATTAATAACTTGACTGAGTTGTGGATTTATCCCCCTCAGAGTTCTCCTTACAGTCACCAGACAGCACATTAACAATGATGCATACCGTTCAATTCCCTTCATTGCAAGGCTCTTCATTATATCTTAAGCCACCTTATACAAATATCTGATATACCCTTGCCCAGTTTACCACCGGTAACATACACGCACGTGTGTGTGTGTGTGTGTGTGTGTGTGTGTGTGTGTGTGTGTGTGTGCACGTGCATGCATGCGTGTGTGGTTACCTTGCAGCAGTTTCTGCTGGTACTCTGCCAGTCTCTGGCGCCTTTCTTGCTGTAACCTCTGCATCATGGTCATGTTCTCCTGGCCTCCAAACATGGAGCCGCTGGTGGAGGGTGGCTGCAGGAAGCTGGAACCTGCTGAGAAGAACAGTGATTGCAGGAGAAATTAAAGCTGGGCTCAGGCTAGAATAGTGAAAGGCAGATCTACACACAAAAGCAAATATAATATGCATATCCATTCAGTGTGATTCATACTCAGAAAAGGAAATATTGTAAGCCTCGGTCACAGAAGGATTTTTTTTAGTAAAATGGTGCTTGTGATTCTTTACGACTTATGCCCCGATGAGGAAGTTCTCTCAAATTGTGAAAAGTATTTTTATTGACGGACAGACTTATCACTAATGAGACTACTGCACAAGTTTGTTTTAGAATAAATTCAGAGCTGTCACTCACCATCTCCCAGGCCGTAAGTGTGTGTGGTAGGCTGAGAGAAGCTATCCACTGGCGACACTTTACTCTGGCTGTTCATGCTGTTCTCATGGATAGATGGCAGCACAAACAAACTGCTGGCTCTGTAAGGAGAATACCACTGTAAGTTAATACAACACGACTCCCAAGATATGAGATATCCTTTGTCAAAATCACACCATAAAGCAATAGCAATAGTTTTACTGCCCCTGTGTAAATTTTCTAAAATTCATAGGACAAATATCATATCGTCTCAGTTTTCCCAAAACTTTCTTAAAACAAGGCACGATGTAGTAACTTAAACCCTGGATAAAACCTGGTCCCCTTAATACCAGGCCCCAGTTTCACAAAAAACCAAGTCAATTCCCCGACTTAGGTCACTAAGATTTCCATGAGAGTGCTGTAACACTATTCCTGATAAGGTAAGATATGACCATGTAACCTTGGAAACTGAGTTCTTAGCTAGGGAACCTGACTTCAGCTTTTTTTTTTTTTTTTTTGTGAAACTGATACCAGGATAACCCAGCTCAAACCAGACTAAAACTGGGCTTCAGTGATTTCAAACTCCATTCCTGTGAAATAGGCCATTACCCGAGCTCCTGTCCAGTGCCCATACTGGGGCTCCATGGGGACACCCTGCTGGTCAAGGTGGTACTGGGACTGGTCATCTGGGGCAGGCTGGGGTTCTGCTGACCACCCACTGCACTGACTGCCTTGCCTGGTATCAGTCCTGCTGCAGCAGCCTTGCTTGCCATGATGGCTGGAAAGTGGGAGAAAAATATGAAATTATTCAATTTTCACATTCGAATTCAAATGACCTTTAAAACATTTATAAAATCATTGAGACAGTAGGTTTTATAAACATGTCGAAAGAAAAAGTAATAAAAAAGTAATATTTTAAATGATCATCACTCACCAGAGTAATCAAATGGATTGGCCAGTGGATTGAAGGGAGTGGGTTTCTTAATGGCCTGCTTGCGGGCGTGGTTACTGTCATTGTTGTTACTGCTACTGCTGCTGCTGACGACACTGCTGTAACTACTGGAGCGACTGCTACTGCTGAGGTGGTCTGGGGAACCCAAGAGTTGCTTGCCATGGCGCAGAGCAAAGTTCTCCGTCTGCTCTGCCAGCTCACTCAAGTCACCTATACAAGGAAGAAAGAAGGAAAAAATTTTTTCAGCAACCCCTATAAAATTTTGTGGATTATTCATACATTCCTCATTGTCATTATCACAATATGGTAATAAATAGAAAGTTTATGTGTTGTACGTTGACACACAACCTCTAAAGAATATCCAAAGTACAAAACAGAAATACACACATGCTTTTCTTAGGGTTCATGCAACATTGTTATCAGTACAACAATAACAGCAACAGTCAATGTTAATGAACAGAGAAATTAGTAACGGAAACATGTTAAAATGTAGAGATAAGAGCAATTGCTACATATGGAACTGCTACATTCCCTTTAACATCAACTGTTACAAGTGCACAGGGAATTCAAAGAACCATCAGTGCAGCCCTGCAATGTTTTCAGTGCCCAAATATTAACCAATTACCATGACGTATGACTGTTTATTTTAGAAACTCTCCTTGACCACAACCCTCAGTGTCAGTGACAGCCTTGGATACCGCCACCCACCTAACCTTGCACACTGTCTCTCAGTATCAAGAACACATCTGCCCTGTTTTCCATTCACAGTTAACCACACTTTCTCATTAGCTGCTTTCAATCTTTTTTTTTAATCCTGCATCAAGTTTTACCCACTTAAACCTAAATAAACTCAAAAATAAATAAACATGCCAAAACAAATTACCATGGGCATAAATAAATAAGACTCCAAAACACTTTCCCTTCAAAAATAAATATAATAAAAAAAAAAAAAAAAAAAAACAGACAGCACCTCCACTTTAATGTTATATGCAAACAAAAAATACCCTCTCTGCTGTACACTATCACACCTGTGCAAACACACATGCAGTCCTCCACCCATCCTACACACACCCACAGACACTTATCCACCCTACCCTCAGTTATACATCCATCCTATATATACCCATGTCACACCCACAGACATTTACCCCCCTCACTACTCCACCCATCCTACACACACCCATATCACACCCACAAAAAAAATTCCCTCCCACCCAGTTTTCCACCCATCCATCATCCACCCACAGACATTTACCCACCCCACCCTTTCTCAGTCCACCCATCCTTCACACACCCACATAAAATCACCCCACACCCAGTTTTCCACCCATTCATCATCCACCCACAGACATTAACCCACCCCACCCCACCCCTCCCTCAGTCCTCCACCCATCACACCCACAACACACCCACAACACACCCAGCAGCCAAAGTAAATGAAAGCAGTATCTACCGGTAGATGGGATTGGTATTGGTTGGTCCCACAGAGGGGGAGGGGAGTCTTTCCCGCTCCACGGACTATCTGGGTCTCCACCAGTGAGATGAGACTCTATAATTGAGCCTATAGAGGACATAAAAGGACAAGATGAGTACAATGACAACACAGTGCAGTGGCAGGCTGAGCAGTCTACTGGTCAATACTATCCCTGCTTGGCACTTAACTTGGCTTCCTGTTTTGCTTCAGCCAAACAATTGTTTTTTGTATATCAAAAATACCATGACAGGATTTCTAAGGAGCAAATCTTTTCCAAGGGAAAATTATTACAGTAACTTTAGTAATGGGTATTTATTTATGTGCAACTCAGTTTGATGATATAAATTTGTTTTAATTGTTTTAGATTGGATTAACAATAAATCCATTTTTAGTCTACTGTTTTTTTTCTTATCAGACATATGGTTATCAAAACCAACAATACGCAACCTATGAAAAAAATTCAGTATAAATAGAGGGTTCTTTTTTTCTCAAAATTCATTTTTCCCCAGATAAAATGGTTTCAGGTAGGGAGAGTAAAACATTGCAAAACAAATGCTTGCAACAGGTAAGAATTCCATCTCTCTCTCTGAAATTGCGATAGTGCTCAGAGTCTGAAGTATTCTACAAATTGTTAGGACGCTAGTCTAAGTGCTATGGTGTTGTGAGGGATGTGTATTATATATAAATAATTATATATAATATGTTACCTAAGGAAATTAATAAAACTAGATAAAAGAAATATAAAGGGAAACATAGTAAGTGACAGGATGCATACATCTTAAACTTATAGGAAGGAAAAGGAAGGCTGGCATTTAAACCATGGGTTTTTTTAATCAAGTGACAATTTGCTATCATATACTATCAGCAATGACCATGAATTCTAGGACTAAGTCATTAATCTAATACCATCTGCTATGCTCACAATACTACAATATGTGAAGATTCCTAAAGGCTGCAGTCTGTATAGACAGGGGCACCATGCAAAGTTTAACAAGACAACAACTACAGCAAATCTTCTTTAAAAAGAAAACTGACACTGAAAATGTTCAATGAAGAAAAAGAGCCAAAGGTGGCACAGCACTAACACAGCATGTGCAATTCTAAACAACAAACAAGAAAAACAAACACATGCTTAAAATCTTAAACAATAAACATTTAAATATAAAGATGTTACTTCAAATGTAAGTGTAATTCAAAGAAGATCATGCATTGACACGATTCACTATCACAACTTATTACTGGTAAGTTGTTTGAAATACATCTTTAAACAGATTACAGCACTCAATAGAATGCATTATCTACCTTTGGCCTGTTTGGCCTGCTTGTCTGTCCCCTTGATGTTCTTCTTCAAACACTTGGTGGCGATGTCAGCAGCCAGAGCGTGGGGAGATGTAGGCTCTTCTCGTATGGCAGCGCGTTCTTCCTCCTCAAGTTTAGTTGTGTACGGTAGTTCAATTGTGCTGATAAAAAAAAAAAACAGATTCTGGTTTATAAATTAAATTCAATAGTAAATTATTTAATGATAGTCATAGAAATGATAATTTTCCAAATGTATTCCACCATTATTAAGCAGATGTCATTCCTAAAACAGAATTATAACACAAAAATAATTAAAAAAAATTTTTTTTTTAATGAAAAAAATATAATTAACATAATTATAGAATATTAAGCAAAAAGTACTTGAAAACTCACCTTGGCCTATGAATATTCCCTCCAAATGCATTCTTGGGGTCCACCTTGATGCGTGTGTGAGCCTTGGACTTGCTGGTCAGGATAAAATCATCCTCCCCAGTCTGCTCCTCTGCCATCACTTCTTTATTTTTCTTCCCCTTGTTCTTACTCTTCTTGGTCTTCTTCAGCAGAGGCTCTGGCGTGGAGTCCCGCGTACTGCTGGCCTTGTCATCAGCGTCACCACCAGAGGACTCTGTGGTCGTCGAGGACGTGTCATCCTTGTCTTTGTAGTCTTCCACTGTGGCGGGGCTGGAGGTAGGAGAGGGAGACACGGGGGAAGTGTTGCTGTCCTTTCTCTTTGCCTTCTCCTTCTGGCGCCGTTCCTTGTCTTCTCGACGTTGGGCAGTCTTAGATTTACGTTTTGGACGAGGTTTTGCTGAAATTGAATGATTTAAAAAATGTTCGTTTTACATAAGATATATTTTACTTTTAAATCTTAAAGTAAATACAGCTAAAACATACACATTGTAAAATATATTCTAACTGTCTTAACTATGCATCTATTTTCACTACTACACTTATTATCTTGTAAATTCATTCCAGCACATGCACACAAACACACACACACACATACTATCTCCAGAAAATGAATTGAACAAGGTTAATCATTTCAAACTCACCTTCCTTTTTTCCCGAATTTTCTTCGTTTAAATTTTCAGCCACAATGTGAACTTCAGGTACTTCAAATGAGTCAAGGTGGTTCACACTGTTTCCACTGCTGCTTGGCACCAACTTTTTCACCTTTTCAGCTTGCACTTTTTCTTTATCGTTGCTTGCCTTTTGCTCTTGTTCGGTATTTTTAGATGCTGATGTCACCGATGGCGGTGACGCAGCTGAATTAGCTGGTACAGAGGCCGAATTTGATACTGGTTCAGACTTGGCTTGTTTTTTCTCACCATGAATGTATCCATTTTCCACGGTCGATATATCATTTACGTTTTGCTTGGATGCTTTTTTCTTCGATTTAGAATTCACAGTCGAAGACTGCTGTGGTGCTTTTTCCGCAGGATTGGCTTCTGATGCTGTAGCGTAACTTGTATTCTTCTCTGCTGGGTGTAGTTTAAGGTTGTTGAGTTGTTGTGTGGTTGAGGACTGTGTGGCTGCAGTAGTAGTAGTTTTACCACATTCCCCAGATGATGACTGTCTCTCATAGGTAGGTTGTTTGGCTGGCGGTTCTGAGGAATTTTGTCTACTTGTGCTTCTGCAGAAAATACTACTGATGCTTATGGATGGAGTAGGATCTTTTTTCCTTTTCAAATCAGCGTGTCCGTTACCCATCTCTGGAATGGACTTACTACCCAAAAGTTGTGGTCCAGGTATAGACTTTTCCTGCTGTCTTGGGACAGCAATATTTTTCAGATCAAATATCTTGGACTTGTCATGTAATTGTGAAGAAGCGTTGACAGCTTTCTGCCGGCGTAAAAGGTCTGTGGTGAAGATGCGATCTGCTTCAAAATAAGATGCCACAAAGATGCAGAAAGTGAGAAAACCCATTAGACAGACTGTGGAGTAATAAATGATGGGCTCCCATGAAGGGCGCGGGAGTGCTGCGGAACATTTAGTCAACATACTGGCCGGTATCGTGGCCTGAAGAGTGAAGTTGATAGTGTCTCCAAGACTGGAGTGGATTTTTAAAAGTCTTCTAACTCTTGACATGGTAAAATCTGGACTGAATCTGAAATTTGATACAAAACAACTGAGTTCACTTTTTTTCGGAAATAATAATTTATGTTATTTGTTTACAGAGTAAAAAAAACTGTAAAGAGAATATAAGGCAAACAGAAAGGGAAAAAAACATTTTCCTTTTTGCTTAGTGATAATTACAACTAAATGATACTCTAAATTTATAGTTCATTTTAAATTACAACATGTTCTGAACATAAGACATACTATCACCATTTGCTAAATAAAAAAACAATCTGAAGAATACAACAAATTCTGTTTCTTTTACACTTACGCTATGTCTATCTTTTTGGTCTGATTGGGTTTCAGTTCAAACCCCTCACAGTTTAACACCTTGAACCCATAGCCCTGACATGGTTCATCATTGATACTGAAGCCATGGACGTAGACTGGCAGCTCCCCGGAGTTCCTGGTGGTAAAGGTTCTCTTCACGGTAAAACTGGGGGGTATAGTGCGACTTGGTTTCCAAGCTGAAAAGAGAAAGAAAACATAAAACTACACCATGAACACCATAACAACATGAATCAGAGAAAAATTAAATTTATTCCATTTTAAACAAATTATTTGGTTATATTTAGTTAGGTTATTTCCCACCTTATTTGTGATTCTCTTGCATCATAATCTTATGCCTCATAAATCAACACTATTTCCTCCATACATATGTTACAGTTACAAAATATCACTATTTCAAAACCAGTTACAGTACTACGCATACATCAAAACCAATAAAACAAAACCAAAGCCAACAAAACCCAATCTCCATATATTATATCAAGTTAAGTTGACATTTACTGCAAGGTCAATAACATTCCATAGGACCAACTCACGTTTCTCACAGCCTGACAACACTTTTTCGGTCATTTCAAAAGAGAGAGGGTTTGGAGATCCTGGTTTTCTACCGCTGAATTTTAACTGGCCATAGCTTCCTCTGCCTTCTACTACTATTGCATCTATGATGGTAAGATTGTTTCTGGAAAGAATAATTTCATTACATTTCAGGAATACAAATAGTGATCTTTATAAAAGACCAATAATCAAAATAACATCAGTTTATCTCAAGTACAAAATCCATTAAAACAGTTTTTCTTCAGATCCTTCACTAACTTACCTTATGACTATGAGGGTTGATCTGATGGAGTCATCCTTTGGGGAAAATCCCGCTAAACACCGCACTCCGCCTCTCCCATTCAATATGGTTGCTATGGTATGTTTGTGGGGTTTGACGCCAAAATAATCGGTGACCCACTGGCGCATTTCTGGCACAGCGTTATCTGGTCTTTTCTGGAAAACAACATGACTCCAGTGAGTGTCACCTAATCATTAAGTTTAAAGTTGATTGATTTCTATCCCAATGTTATTACATTTTATTATTAGCTTTAAAGAGTCTCCTGATATATATTCAGTTTCTTACCTACTATACTATTTTATTTTCAATGGTTTATACTAAATAAAAGCACACTGATTAGAAATTAACTTTTAAAGGAAGATGTATAAAAAATTACATAATAATACTTACATCGTATAATTCTAAATTTTCTAGAGTGAAAATGTCTTGGTCATCTGTTTCAACATAGTCTGATAAATGATCTGAAAACCTGTAAAGCGATGATAAAAAATTTACTAACATGAAACACCTGTTAAATGAAATTATCACCAATAAAATAAACTGACCTTTTACTGATTGTTTTTCTTTAATTCATCACATATTAAAATCTCATTAACTTTTTCTAAGCAAAAAATTAACCAAGGTGCTTAGTCTTGGACTGTCTAAAACCATTTCTATACGAGAATGTGTCTCTTACGTGGAGCTGAGCATGTCTAGCAGCACTTGAGGGTTTGGGTAAAGAGATAAAGGCAGGACTTGGATGATCACAGGGACATCAGAGGGGTTCACAACCATGAAAAATATATCCTGAAAAGAAATTACATTCTTAGGTAAGATCTGCTTCTTCCTTTTTGAATATTCTGTTCATTAAGAAAAGGCACTGTTCACTGACTACCAAAACAAAGTCACTGCCCTTGTGGAAATCAGGCACAAAAAATTCAACTTTTAAGAAAAATTTATTTGAATTTCCACATATCTGCAATAAACAATTACGGTCTTAGTAATTATGTCTGTGTCTGCTTAAAAAGAGCAAATACCATCAACTTTGCCTGCATTGATTTACTTTGTAACTTAATTTTTTCTCTATTTCTACCCAATATCTTAATGATACTTACAGACTTATTTCCTACTTGTGTGAGAGGAAACCTTAAAACTCTGTCATAATCAGACTCAAAGTTGTCTTCAATAAGCGTAGGCCAGCTGAACTGGACCTGTGCCGGGAAAAGGAAGCCCCTCACGTAATCAGTGTTCAGTTGAATTGTGACGTTGAACCTGGGTGGAAATAACAACTTGTAGATGATGTGTTTTTCTAATTGTTTGTCAGGAAGCTTAAGATACACATAATACATTAATGTAAATACTGAGATTTATTAACATTTGTTAGAAACATCTCACATCAAATTTCACATTCAGTCTATCACTTTCAAGCTTGGACAATTTTTTTTAAATCCACTACCAGACTAACATGATCTGTAAAAGATAAATCTATGAAATCTATCATATCAAGAAGTCACCCTTTCAAACTTACGGATTTTTCTCTATGGATCCCACATTTTCCCACTTCTGCTGTAGCTTTGTGTATAAGTATTGGTCAGTGTCGGTCACCTCTCTGTCTAGTGTGAGACCCAGTAGCCACTGATGACCGGCGGGGGTGTGTGTTGGCAGGCCTACATAACAGTCCTCTTCACAGCCTTGCCGCACATCAAATGACAGCTTCCCTATCTGGAACACATCAGTTTGGAATGTTATAGTAGAGGACGAGATGCACTTCATATACAACAGTGGATATTGTGTACAAGAGAGATTGCAGCTTTTTTTCTTACAGTCAGGGAAAACATCCCTAATTTCCTATGCTCAGTGAACAAGACAAATTCCTCTCAATTCTTATAGTTACAAAAATTAGTAACATCATCTTAATTTAAGCTGTGATGTTCAATCATATTTTTAGAGCAATGTTGATACTCTAACCATTATATAATGAGTTTTCAGTCCCATTATTTATTTGTAACTTCCCTCGGATTCTTTATTGGTCATTAGCCACTTCTAAACTTCTAAATCTCATTTAACTTTGGGTTTTTGCTGAGAGCTAAAATGATAGTTCAGCAGAAAGCACTTCAAATAAGAGAATATTTCATGACAGTTTTTATCGTAGTACAAAAAAATATGACCAGATCAATAACAGTTGGCATACTTACAATATTATGATCATGGTAGTAAATCCAGAGAGGTTTCACATTGGCTCTTTCATAGTGAAACCTGCTGTCTTCAGGAATAAAGATCACCTCCCCTGCTTCTATGACCCCATCAAATGTACTGTTAATTCTGAAATCTTGAGACAGCACTTTACCCTGCAACAAAAGCATGCAACAGTTTGTTTGAACTATTTCATGTGTTAAAGTGTTCAGTGCAGGTTATTTTGTAATTCTATACCTATTCCTCATCTAAAATATGCAATTTAAACAATGTTTTATTTATATATACTATATAAGCCAAAATTCTTTTTGACGAAACAGGCAATGGTCCATCTGCATTAAGCACTTCTAATTTCAAGCCATAGTCTCATCTTGAATGATTTAAATAAAAGAGAAGTTTTTTGCCATATTTGTCCACATACTGGGAAGGCATTTTCAAACATGAGAACCTCTGGCACTGCCATCAGGCCTCCCTCCACAGTCATCAGTGTGAGAGGAATATACTGGGTCTGAAATAAAACATTTTGTTCTAGTAGAAAAAGTGGCATCATAAATTGTTCACACTGAGAATACTGTACAAATTATACCAAGTGTGTGTGACTTTATTTCTACGCAATTACGTTTCTCAACAAGTGATGAGTGAGGCAATTAAATGACCCATTAAAACTAAAAAAAAAAAAAAAACTTTGCCACAACAGCCTTCATGTTCAATCACAAAAAAAAAAATGACTTTGTGTTTCCTTCAGCTTATTCCACTCCTTGAACCAGTATTGAACATTGGTGCAATAAAATATTCATCATCTCTTGTGTAAAGATGGAAATATATTAAAATCTTTTCTAAACAGACTGGGGAGCTTCTTTTCTCTTACCTCAAAATTTGTATAAATTAGCACCTCGGCAGCGTAACTGCCTTCTTCATCTGGAGCATGCAGGTTGACGCGGAATACTGCAAAATGGTATGGTTTTAGCACAAGCTGGAATGAGACAAGTATGGGTGTCACCATGGAAACCAAGCACTGGGGCACGTTCAGTAGAAATATTAGGTAAAAGACTCAAGGTAAACGAAGAGACATGATATGCAAAATGATATGAAATTCTAGTCTCAACAGCCCTAATTAAAATCGCTACAGTTAATATATTTCTCAATAAGCCCAATACTGCCACTTCTCTGCATCATGAAAATAGGAATAAAAATGAATATTTTTGAATATTTTTGTAGTAGTTGACATTCACAACAGTTCCTATTCCAGGCCACTTACTGGGCTTGTGTCTATCTCTGATACATTGTGTTCTCGTGTAAGTGCTGTTCCATTGCCTTTTTCGACCCCTAGTAATTCCACTGTAGTTCTAAGCATATTGGAACTAAACTCATATATAGTGACCTGAAAACCATATTAAATAAATTATATGTTACAATTTAAGAATTATACTATTTGAATGCAAATGCTTACAAATAATCAAGTCCACTTTTTTGCTAAATTTAATGAGGACAATTGTTCCGAGTTAGAATATTCCTAACTGCCCACAAAAAATCTATATTTCTCTTGTTACTAAGCAGAACTGACAAACAAGAGTTACTGGAAAATGTTTTAATTCATTTTTGAAATATTTCCTACATCTACTACATTCAACAATCTTAGTTTCTATTACAATTTATCCCATGCTGTCCCAGCATTCCATACACTTACATCTATGGGGTTATCATTGCGCAGCGTGAAAGTTAACTTCCGCCTGTCTCCCACACCCATCACACCAAAGTCCAGCTGCCCTTTGAACACCTCCGGTCTGTGATGTATTACCTGAGACAGAATTGCATTTTATTCAGATTTTAACCAAAGAAAATAATAATATCCATACTTTATATAACTATATAATGAACCTTACGCGTTACAATCATTTTAAATTGCGAGCAGAAGTAAGGCATTTTTTAGAAAAGTTTTTATGTTTTGTCAATTATACCCAGCTCTTAAGACTCTATTAAAAATACTGTATTTTGAAAATTCAACTGTGACACATTTCAGCAATGACTGCACTAGACTATGTAAAATTAATATGCTGTATCATATATCAAGTTGTTTACATTACCAATCCTGTTTTGGTTTTTAGTAAGAAGGTGGCTTACAATGACCACATTTCATCGATAATATAAGTAATCAATAATGAGAAGAAAATGACAAATTTTGGCTCACCTAAAAATGTGCAGTTTTGGAAACAATGCACATGTTTTGTTAAACTCTAACTTAAGTTTCCCATATTTTGTTGAACTCTACCTTTAGTTTCCCATTGTAAACCCTCAATGGTATGAAGAATACGGAGGCGTTGGTGTAAACTCTGACAGGACCGGTGAAGTGCAGGTCAGAAGAATTGGGGTGAAACTTCAACTGAAATGGTACTACTGTCTCCCGGGGTGGGACTAGCATTGGATGGGTAAAATTCAGTACCTAAAAAAAAATACATCAAAAAATTATCATCACCATGTGGCTGCCAGCTTAAAATAAATACTTTTTAAAAAATGTACATACACTGACAATAGTAGGCTGTGCCAAATTCTATAATTATATCAACATAAACACAGTTTTAACACTTTGAATGTCAATTTTATCTTACTTTGTGTGAAGTTTTTTTTTTTAATGTAAAATATTCTGTAAACCATTTAGTACAGTACAGCAACATCTGTATCCAGATTTTTTTAAACAAATGTACAAACATGTCATCCCCCATTTCTCGTGGTTTATTCCATTTGACTGTATTTGCAACGAACTTATGTATAAATTTTATGAAGATAACTTACTGTAAAGTATTCCCTAATATTAGGTGGTAATGTGACATTGTATATAACCAGTGTAAAGTTGAAGGTATTTGTCAATGGTAAAGACACAGTGACATTCTTTGGTGGTGATTTCTTGCTGCCTACATAAAATTCCGTACTCGCCAGCTCATAAACCAAAGACCTGAAACGCATTTATCAATGTCACATTATTTGCATGAAATTAAATTAAATATACAACTTTACATGAAATAAAATTGTATCTTATCTATAAACTGAAAATATCAATTAGTTGAAAGACACCATATACTTTCTCTTACCCATGTAGAACTTCTGCCTCATAGGGTATATATAAACGATGATGGTTGTTCTTGGATTTAACCAGGATACGACCAGAATACTGTTTTGGGTTGAGACCTTTTGATGCTGCAAACAACAAAAAACACACATAACAGTGGATTTTGATGTATCACAGCTACAAGTTCTACATTCATCAAAATGATGCTCGTCCTAATTTTACGTTTATCTAGAGAGTATTTTTATCTTTAGGATAAAGTAGAAAGCAGACATGAAAAATTGGTAGGTAAAATTCACTGTCTAATTATAAGTGCTGGTAAAACAATTTGTTCAGAGAACATATAACAATAGTAAGAAGTCACATTGGCTAAATTCTTGTAATGAAGTTCTATATTACAATAGACATTTGGTTGGAGGAAAAATGCCTGTGTCTGTCTGTGTGTCTGTCTATGTGTCTGTCCGTCTCCCCCTCACCTGTATATGTAATGGTGGCTACTGTTGTTGGCTGTAAAACATCAGGCTGAATTTTGATTGGTCGGAAATCTATGCTGACTGCGTCATTCGGTGGAAATAATGAGACACTCTGCAAGGAAAAAATGGATTCAGTTAAAAAGAAATCCCCTTTGATTTTTGAAATACTTTGAAAACAAAGAATTAACACATTTTTAGTTCAGCTTCTGTTACAGTAGTATTTTACTATTAAATGTTTTGGAGGAGCATATCACAAACAATTATACTAATAAATATACTTAATTTTGCAAAACAACACTAGTTATTTGTGTTATTTGTTGTATTTTTTTTTTCTTCAAATAAACTGCATAATGTTATAAACTGACTGCTTGTTAAAAAAATCCACTCACTTGAATATGAACTGCCTTTGTTCCTGAGTTGACTAAATTTAATCTCAAACTTCTGGGACTGTCATGCGTCCTTAAAATGCCAAAATCTAACAGTTCATAGGGACAATAAAGTCCTGGTGCTGAAAATACAAGGTGCAAAATAAATGTGGGTTTTAATTTCATACTACACATTTACTATCTACTTTAAGTGACAACTTTCTTAGTCATCATAAATGAAGCATTCTGTTATCGTTAACCCATAACAAGTTCTTACTGGAATCAAATTCCAAACTAAGAAGAAAAAAAGAACACCACAGTATGACTGAACAGACAAACAGATGCATCAGATCAAGACAGAAGTTACAGCTATGAAATTTCATTTCACGTCATCGAACAAAGCAAGGACATTATAAGCCGAATTTAGCAGAGATAATATATCATGTAATCCTGTGCTCAGCAGTATGAGAAATGTCATCAGTTGGTGGTCACTATCCTTTCACTCTAATATCTAATCCTCACGACACGAAAAGAAGTTGTAAGCAATAAGCTTGACATGCTATGGGAGACACTCTCACCATAGATGCCCTGCAATTTTCCAAGAATCATGACGTTCAGAAACAAAACAAAAACTTGACGAAAGGATATGATACTCTTGGTATTCTATCAAGCAGAATGAAATAATACATTCGTAGAGAAAAACTAATCAAAAATATCATGAAAATAGACTTGAACATGTCTCCAAGATCATAATTCTTTTGACGTCTATCTAACGCGTGCTTCACGTATGCAACCTGAACCCATCATCAAACATGCAACCAGTTTTATGACAAGCCATATCAAATGTTAATTAACTTCCCACACTTTAAGCTTAATATACAGGTGGAAGAAGTTAAATATAAGCCTGTATTATTTTCTTAGAAGAATAAACCCACAAGCACACTCCTTATATTACAGTGTGGTCTGATAACAGCTAGCCACAAATTAATGAAAACAACACCCAAAGGTTGTAAAAAATTACAGTTATTTTTTTTTCAATTTAACTAGCTAGCACATTGGTTAATTTTTACATATCAATGGGATTTCAGATAAAAAAGAAACCTTAATCGCTTTGAAAGCCATTTATCAGCTTATCAGGTGCTGAAAATTCCAGACATAAGTTATTTTTCATGCCCCATGACTGAAAATGTGAATACTTTCTGTCCAAAATAGCCAATTAAAAGAAATGTCTGTCCAGCTGAACTGTTACCTGAGGAGACCTCCACTTCCACTGGTAGGACTAACATCTGCTTCTTCTCGTCCTTACTCGTCTTGATGCGGATAAATGCTGTATGGTTGTTCTCGTTCCTCCCTACAAAGCTGGCCCGCATCACTGGTTTAGTTTCGTAGGGAGGAATCTCCTAAAATGTGCAAGGAAAAATAGACAAAAAAAGCTTTTCTGCTATAAAAAGCATCATATTCTGCACCAAAATTAATCTTTCAGACACCCAACATAAACAAGGCAGCAAAGCTGTCAAATGTACAGACAAAAAGCAGGAAATAACAAAATAGGCTACTGTCAATTCTGATTCAAAAGTACATTATGTTAAACTGCAAATTCAACATCAAATTTTAATTATGCTCAACAGGTAATACCAATGTAAGTAAAATGTGAAACAAGTATAAGGCTTCAGGCCCATGGGAGTTCAAGTTCACACTTTGAAAATGTAAAACTTCCAGAAAAAGAAGTCAATTAGACTGCTTTTCCAACTCAGGCTGCATTTTAGTCCTGTATTTCTTTTTTGAAAGTTTGGCAATCATTAGTAACATGGTTTTCCCATAATGGTGATCATGGCAGCAGCACCCAAAATTGTGTTTTCTTCTATTCTGATGCAATATTACATAATGGTTAACNCGGCGACGGCGACGACAGACGCAGGTGATGGCAATATGTACAGACACATCTGTGTCTGTACATAAAAATCCCCAGCCGTCTGTTTTCTCCAACTGCTGATGGTAACAGTTTCAACATTCACAGATTTGCCAGATATAACTACATCAAAACTATTGATCTTACTGTAAAAGTTCATCACTCATTTATATTCATTTCCTTAATACAATCTTAACGAACGTGGTTATTTTCAGAGCTCAGTGACAGAATCAATTGTCAAATTGTATATTGTTTATTTTACATATTTGTTCTTTCTATATACCATCCTTGATGAAGAAAGGTCTAAAAGGGAAATGTCCAAGTTGAATTTTTAACAATGAAAATATATGAACATACATTGATTCTTGCACATCAGGATTATGCATGTACTTTGATTTATGAAAATCAAGAATACACATACAATGCACGCATGTGTTAAGTGTCTCTGCTCCATGAAGCTGATGGTGATGTATAAAGGGCTTTAAGTGCTTACCCATAAATTTTTAGGAGCTTCTTTTTCTCCAGTGGGCAACTCTAGATGGAGGTCTCCCCCGCTGGCATACATTTCGACCACCTAGAATATCAAACAATTATGTGGCTGTTAAATAATTACAAACATCAAGGCATGGAGACCATTCACACTCACAAAGTCATCTTAGTTACAAAGATCACACTGGTTGAATTCACCATACTTTTGTTGCTGACAAAAAGACATACAGACATGGTCAAAATGTCTGAGCTTCATTCAAAGACCCACAAAAAAATTTAATGCCTCCAGTTTTTTTACATGCAGTACATGCACTTTTTTTCCTTTTCCTTTTTTTCTGAATTTTTTCATGAAAGTAATATAATTTAAAACTAATTCTATCATGTCACATTTAAATTTGCTTATTTTAATAGTTTAAGAATAATTTTCTTTATTTGCTGAATAAAAATGTAGTGAAATTTCCAACTATGTATAACTTTTAAAAGCAACTGAATCTACTGCAAGTTTTTTTCACAGAAATATTGTCTTATATGGCTATAAACTGCCACCTTGAAATTGAACCTTGTTTTTCAACAGCTATTGTTTATTTCTTGTTTACCATGTGTGACACAACTGTAAGGGATTAATTAGGTGGCTTGACTGAACAAAACAGATCTTATTTCAAAACAAGTGATGTTTTTAAAAAACTATGATATTTCAATGTCAGATATTTAAAAAAAAGCTCTATATCCCATAATACATAAAATCCACTGTAGCTCCCAACTTTCCTTTAAAATGTTTTTATTGATAAAATGAAGCTGTGTGCCAAGTTTGCTAGTTCTATTCATCACAAAATCTAAAGCGATACGTGACCTTATTATGTACATTAATAATCAATATATTCATCAAGCAAATATCATAATCAAGTGAGACCGAGTTTGTTTGCAGATGGTTTTAAAATTATTTACCACCTTGAGAAAAAACAGTGTGCTGCATTGCCCTCGGGGAAACCCATTGCCTCAAACCATTTGCATGGAACATTCCTAATTAATGTTTTGTTTTTTTAGTTCACTCAAGAATTTGTTGATTTCACGTGAAAAAATGATGACATTTAAGTATTACTAAGTTAAACTCAATAATAAAATATAGAATACAGCTTCCAGTTACTTATCAAACAATTGAAGATTTTTTAGAGAAAAAAACTGGTAAACCAAAAATTCCCATGAAAATTTATAAACTTAAATTGTCACATATTTGTTTTGTTGGTATCAGCTGGTGAAAACAGTAGATACAGAGTTCAGAAATGAAATAAATGCCTCTCTCTATCTCTCTTCCATTCTCTCTTTCTCTCTTCCTCTATCTCTCTGGTGATGTTTGAATGCATGCAATCAACACATTAACAAAACGAGGAAAACAATTGTCCCAAACCACGGAACAATCAAGCTGAATCCAGAGAGCCACGTCTCCATCACCTGTGCTCCCTCCCTATTGCCTAACCCATCACACAAAACAAAGCTGACTGCATAGCAATCATCATTTAAAAGCATGCAAATGGCGCTACAACACTCAGAACTCTCATCGGTTTAAAGGCAAGTGGAAAAGCTTTCTGATTCCCTAATAGAAATCACCTCTGTCACGCAATTTCTACCTATTCATTTTTTCTGAATGTTGAGTGGATCCTATGGTGGCTCCCCCTAATGTCTTCTCTCCACCTTATTTGCACTTGACGTGATAAACGCAATTTTCTTTAGTAACAGCAGATACCTCGCAGATGAATTTACTTAATCTTGGTCATTAGGGTAAGAAGGTCGAGCAAAGTGCACCTCTAGGATTAAAACTGCACAAAGCTTTAAATCTGCTAAATTCATTTAATTCCAATTCTGTGCAATTCTATGATGGAAGTAACGTTTGGAAGTACTAACCTTGCTTATTTCTGCTACAAGTCTGAATATGTCACATATATTTTATTTTCATGTCCACTAATGTCCATTTTCCATTAGCTCACAAGGTCTTGGGTCTACTTCACCAAAGATTAGACTAAAAGTCACACATGATAAGCTGTCACATTCAAACCTACCACACTATCACACCTACCACACTTTCACATCTACCACGCTGTGACAGCAGATTTGGTGGCAATGACACCATCTTTTGTCTGACCCTCTTTTAACCAAAGCTAATTTAACTCACAGCTCATACATGGCTGAAACATGTAACATTGCTCCCTATTCTCCTAAATATGCACTGCATTGGTTTTGATTTTCAAAACTGTTGCTGAGGACTTACCTGTAAAGCAGTACTGTGAGGATTGTGCATGTGTATAAGTGGAGAGAAACTGCTATTGAGGGGCACCCTGGCCCCTAGAAAGGGCCGTAATCTGTAGGGGTTAGGGATACCCACTCCAAATACCTGAAACAGTAGAAGTATCATATCATAACAATGCACTGCTGTAGCACAAATATAATGTACTTAAGAGAATAAACGACTTAGGATTAATATAAAGAACTATGGAAACCTTAACCACAGTAATCTTTAAGGCAATTAAGAGCAACTTAGTTTTTTTCGGCTCTTAGTCATTTACAGGCATTTGAATTCAGAGTTCGATTACTGCCATAAATATTTACATGGTTATGAAGATGACAAAGTATTAATCTCTGACAACAACACTAGGAATCCCATAAATTATTATATAATACCACAGTTTCATGTTTGATCCAGGATAATTACGATAACTCTCTGTAGGCGTGTAACACCCAGGTATAACTGGTATAATAGACCATAGTTACATGTGATTATTGCTGTTTACTTCAAAATTAATACATCCTCACAGCGGAAATCATTTGTGTTAGTAAAGAGGCTTATCTCCCTGAACTCATTCAAGGGCAACAAACAAGTTGAGGGCAGCTGTAGAGGTAAGATGACAATTAAGGACAGGCCTTATTTTTTTGCTGTCTAAAACTTTCCCGGTGCAAAGATTCTTTCACCATAACTGTTCAAAAATTAACCCCACTTCGCACACATTCTTGCAAGTTTTTAAGTTTCCTATAATGTCAGATGGCCCCTATTGTGTAAATGTTGGTTGTTCCATCCAAAATGTGTCTGGGTTATCGTTGTGAAGATCTGACAAGTTTGCCTCGAACATGCATGTGACATGTCACTTTTGTCTAATGCAGCAAATCATCTCAATCTTTTCGGAGAATGTTTTCTTCCAAGATGGTTCAGATAACATTCACATCAATTTGGTTTACCTGATCAAAATGGCTGACTATGTAAGTAGGTGCTAATAAATCACACAGTTGTCAACGTAGCAGTACTAAAATGACTTCCATCAAATGTTTGTCTTGTTCTTAATGATTGAAAAACATCTGAAAACGTGTAACCATTGACCAAATAATGAGCAAAATGCATGAAAATCTCTTATGTTAGAAGCCTGGAATTCCCTCTCCCACTCCGCCCATTCATTTTCAAAGATCTCTTTTGTGATAATTCGCCTGATAAAGTACACTTAAAAAATGCGTTAGCTTTAGAATTATCTCAGTGGGGTTTTTTTTACCATTGTCACATGAAAACCACATCTTGTTAAACATGAGGTTTATCTGTCTTTTTAAGAACATGTAACTGATAACACAACTAACTCTTCAATTTAACTCCGCCTACTGGATAACCACTTTGACATGGGAAGTATTCACTTGTTCTACTTCTCAAACCTTACAGTAGACAAAAACATCATAACAAAACAGATATATAAAAGAGATAAACTTGTTGAATAATTTCCTGCCTAACTAACCATGTTATTTTTTTTCTCCCATCATCTACTTATGAGGAAAATCTCAAGGCTCCCATAAATTAAATGAATAACACTTGAGCCATTATTAATTTAAATTTATTTTGCTTTCTAATTGGCTATAAATATTTTCATAAAAAAATTCTTTTTTTCTATTTCTACCATGATTTAGAACTATTAGTGATTTGGTTGATTTAGAAAATACGCTGCAGAAAGTCCAATATCTGATATGGAAGTTGTATTCACCTGAAAGTGTTACTGATATTTTTCTCACTTTTTATTGCATACATACTTTCTGAAACTTCTCATCATTAGTTTCACCAAGATTTAATGAGTTACTCATCCTGGTGTTATTTTTCTAAAAATACCATTGATATGATCCAAATATTGACCAAAATTGTCTATTTATAGTTCACCTGAATGACCTTATTTACGAATCATATCTAAGGAATGTAAATGTAGGCCATGGTCCAATACTTAGCCATCTACCCTGTAATTATTAATAATCTTCATGGGGGTGTTGTAAATCATTCAATATCTGACATAAACTAGTTCACTCATGAGAAAATTTAAACCTGTTCCATATAATATCTAAAACTAACATTACAAAAATTCTTTCAGATAAATTATTAGATATTTTCTGGTTACAGAAGACAATTCTCTAATATTTTCCATAAATGAATTTTTTTCAAAAAAAAAAAATTCATAATCATAACCCCATGGTCCAACTCCAAGATAACTGTTCATCTTTATAAACAACTATAATAATTAGATCTCTGTCGCCTTGACTCCAGTGTTCTGAACAATCTTGACGGCAGTAAAAACTTCCCACACACACTCACCTGGTATTTGAAGGTGCCCTGGGATGTATGAATATATAATGTGTTTTCTACATTTCCTACTTGTCTGGCTAAAAATACTACTTCAAATGTTGTGTTGCCTCCAGGAGGAACCAACTGGAAAGACAAAAACAATTCATCACATTGCAGAAAGGACAACAGTAGAAAAAGTGAGGCTTAAAATGCTTTACACTGACTCCCTTTGACTTTTTTAAAAAATAAATGACAAATATCATCAAATAGTATAACATGGGTAATTTTTCCTATAAAAATCTACTACATGAATTAGTGTCTTTGTAAGAAAGGAAAACGCCCTCATGTTTCTCTTCCCCTTCAGTGACGTTAGCTACAGAGAAACTGTAATTGAATAAATAGAAAGAATAAAGAGAAAATTAACTTTTACTACATAAAAAAATCATGTCTATCTACTATAGCACTGGTTTGGTCCTCAACTAATACAGATGACATTTGATCAATAATTAAATAAAACACAAGTTGATTGCATTACTTCATACTGGCAAATACAATTTGTATTTGGCATTTGGACTGGCTGAATCCTACAAAATTGGTTAACTCCTGTGAAAATGAAAGCATAACAAATGGGCAGAAAAAAATCATGCATTTGCCCATTATTCATTTTGACTTAGGTCTTCCATCACGAGCCATGAATAACACTGTGACAGTTATTCACCTATAGATACAACAAGAAATCAACCCAAGCTTAAGCAGAGAATCTATGTCTTGTATTGGAAATATTTTAATATTTTAACACATACAATTCAGCATGTACTATAATTTTGCTATGTGCTTAACCAGGAATTGATGGATAGATAGGCTGTCTATCATTAGTGTATTAAGGGCAATGTCCTATGACAAGAATTGTGTCAACAAGATAGGTCTAGGTGAACAGATACAGAACTTTACAGCTGTAAATTTGTCAACAGAAAATATCCAGAAGTTTTGGGAAAAAAAATTTAATTAAAGGATGAGAGTTGTATTTGAGTTCCATTTTGACGACTCAATGTAAAGGCCAAAGGGCACCACTATATATCAATAGTCATTTTGTCATTTTAATTCTAAAATTGATATGTGATTTAAAGTCATAATATGAAGTAATGCAGTCAACCCGATCATCATAATCTAATCAGAAGCTGTTACACTGACAAAACTGTTTGTAAACTGAGCAAATGTACTCCGTCAGTAACACTTGTTTGGGTGTTAAAAAGTCTGGAATGAAAAAAGCAATACGCTGGATTCTTGGACAGCAGTCGTACGTCATCATTTTGGAGAATGGTTCGTCAAACGTGGCTTCATCTCATCACAGAATGTAGCATCAAATTAAAAGCAGCCACATCAGTGGTCTCAATTTATTCATCAAGGAACGGAAATTAATCATTTCTCAGTTATCACCAATCATGGTCAATGACAAACATTTTGATCCTACTCGGTAAATATCTACATGGAAATGAAATATTATTCAATAATCTATCATTGTTTCATGCTGATATTTGTGATACTCATAAAATGTCAAAGAACTGATCATTAAATTATCAAAATGATCAGTTCAAATCCAGCAGAAAAGAACATAAACTACACACTATACCTGCAACATTATTTAGGGTATAAAATACAAATGAAAAGAACTTAAAATTGTGAAGAAATGAACTATGCCACATAGTTGTCAGCAACCTGAACTCGGAGTTACAAGAACTGCCTAGCTAGTATTTATATTTACAGTCATGCATTTCTCTCAAATGACAAAACCAAACTCTTACCACAATTTAACCAACAAAGTCACCCTCATGTCAAGCAGCTGATATTCATTGATGTCTCGCAGTAATATTGACAGCATCGAGTTTTACAGTAACAGCACGGACCTGATCAATGAAAATGATCTAAAGCAGACTACTCACCTTATCTTGAAAAAATGAACAATGGAAATGTAGTGTGCTCCCAGATATTGATAAAAGGTGCAAGCTGTTTATTGTGTCTGGGTTGTGAACTGTTACTGTTTCCATGTGTGGCATCCCCACCGCACTGAAATAGACAAGAGTGTAAGGTAACTAATGTGAAAGCAACAAGTCTGCTATTCTTCACAGTTTATTTAATCATGTGTGTGTGTGTGTGTGTGCGCACATGTGTGCGCACATGCATGCGTGTCCCTGGACACTCCAGCATTCTCTTACACTTTATACCACAAGAGATAGCAAGAACGAGACACCAACACATTTTTCACCTCCCACACAGTAACGTTAAGCATGAATACGAGTAACGTTGACACCGTTTATTTTTTGTTCTCGACATCTATCATGGTATATGTTACAGACAAAAGACATTTTTGTTACAGACAAAAAACATTTTTACAATAATATTTCTTCTTCTTATAAATAGAATATACAAAACCACAAGGTTATTCATAACTATTTATATTGGAGAGGTACCATGTTATAATCACAAACTGTAAAATGTATGCAGTTTTGATTAATTTATTTCTTAGATTGAGTGCATGTTTTGCTATGAATATGGAATAGGTCTTGTTTATATTTATTGATTGTTTGAAGAGGTGAGAATGCTATTTTGAGAATGCTATTTTGCTATTTCCTGTTTAAAGCACTGTATACTAGTATACATATGTCACTTTTATCGAAGCAGTAACAACCTCCTGTCAATATACAGTTATTACTAAATGTTGTGCAGTTGTATTATCTTAAATTATGCATAAATATTCCAAATAGATCAATTAGTAGGTACATATTGATGTGACAATTGGATAATTAAACGAGGGCATTTGGATTCTCAGCTAAGCAGGTTATACTTTCAGGTATTTATCTGTACCTGAGTACGTCAAACTGCAATTACACCTGTATGGCTTCAGCAGAAAAAAATTTTTTTTTAAAGTCGTTATCTATTTTTGTAAGATTTTTGGGAAAGAAGGATCATATACGGCAAGGGATCTTTGGCTACAATGATGCAATATCTGAATAACTCTTCATCAATACCAGACAAAGCTATTTTTAAGATCACCAAGAATAAATACATTAATACAAACAAATTTATATGAACATGACAGCATTGTTTGTGATCCTAATGCTCACAGCATCTCACATGCCTAGCTCAATCATTATAAAAACCAGTATGGCACAAAAACCCTGTAAATTACCTTTGTGCATCAAATAGACCATTTAGCACAATTCGACCATATGGCTTCTCCACACACGACACCACACACCTTATTTTCATACCATGCCAGTGATATTTTATTCTGTTGATTATTGGATCATTTTCCACTGAAGGCAATTAGTACATAATTCTGCAGTTGTTGTTGACATAGTAAGGTGTTATTTCATTTTGTGCATTTGTCATTTAAAGAGGGAGCTTTGGAAAACCGAGGAGATTTTTATAACAACTTTCATGGCTTTGGGAAAATAACAGAGATGTAGAGAGGGCAAGGTTATAACTTTGTGCCCATCCTAATATATTTCATATTTAATACACCACTGTGCCCCAAAATATTCAGCTTCAAAAACTACACAACTTTCAGTATCTCACCTGTGACAACCAGTACCCATAAAAATGTTTAGTATCTCGCCTGTGACAACCAGTACCCATATAAATATGAGATGACACCGGCCCAGGGGTATCTTAAAACAACTGCTCACTCTTTTCAGGCCTGTTAAAGTACCACATGCATTTGTGAGCTTTGATGTTGTTCCATGGGTCTAACAATTTTCCAATTTTCAAACAAACCACCCTTCTTGACAGCAAAAGATCTGCTTTGGGTAAAATTTTATCTAGGTACATTAAAGATTCATGGTAAAAGGTCCACTTTTTTGGAAAAAGGCACACACACACACACACACACACACACACACACACCCACCCTTCCTCTGAAAATACTGGCTAGGGGCCTCTACCTCAAATCATGAATAAGTTCCCCTAATCTGCTTCAATTTCTAATGACTTGGAAATAAAGGCAACTGGAGACAATGATTGCTTTTGTGGTGATTAACCACAGAATAATAGCTCATCTTCAATCACCAGTATTAACCATTAGTTCTCTGGTGATTTTCTTTATCATAAACGGAGAAATATGAGAAGTGAGCAAGAGAATTAATGACTGGTTAGAAGAGAGGGGGGAAGGGGGTTTAGCACCAACTAAGGTTGGCTTACCTTTGCTCAGAAAATAAGCCTTTGTAAATTATATAAATAACTAAGAAACAGTTGCTATGGTGAATGCAAAGAAATGTTTTGTCTCATTATTTCTATCAATTAGTTTCTTTTTTTCTTTTTACTGTCAAATTAAAAGACCACATACATGCATCTGATTATTTCCTTTCTGTTATACTTCAAATGATAACTTAAAGAAATAACAACTGTTTGTTTTAGCCAAAAAAATTTTTTTTTCCTGGGGTAAACAACAATTTCCCCATACTTACCAATGGTTAGTCTTGAGCACAACATTTAGCAAAAACTGTTCATCAATTTATCTTTATACTTATTTAATTTATTTTAGTTGAAATGCATTCATCTACTATGATTACAACATTCATCTGCAGAAGTCTAAAAAAAAAAAAAAAAGCTTGCCTTCTTGGGAATCATGGAGTAAGCAATATGGAGACAAATGGCTCCCGATCTCTCTCTACGATCATGTCACAAGCCTTTCGCTGTACTCCAGAACAAAACTAATTAGTTTGATTTCCTGGGAGGCCAATGGCTGTACACTGTGCTTACCTAAGATAGCAACATCAATCCTCTCTACTTAACAGTGGTTACTAAGGCAATGGGACAATCACCATAGCAACTGTTTCTTAGTTATTTATATAATTTACAAAGGGTTATTATCTGAGCAGAGGTAAGCCAAGCTAAAGTACATCTTTGACTGAAATCTATATTACATAGAATCTACTTTCTTGCTGATAGACCAGAAGTTTTTGCCACGTAACTCCATTTTTAACCATTTTAAATGGGTATACTTCACTGCCACACCTCTTTAGGTTAACCAGTGCAAGCCAAGAACCCTAAAATGTGTGTCTAGGTAATTATGAGTATATGGATGACATAAGCTAAGAGACTGTAGGCTGCAGCAATGGGGGAAATCCCTGCTTGCATTGCACTCTTACAGCATAACATCACAATGACATTTTGTGTTAAAAAAAAAATGATGCAAATACAGTATTTTCATTGTTCCATTTTGGTTTGTCACTTCTGCATCAATGCCTTTTTCAATTTATATATCTGAATAACAGAAACAATCAAAATGCCAAAAAAAAAATTACATATATACATAAAACACAATAAATACTAATTCTAAAGATGTAAATTAGCATATTTGCAAATAAAAATAATAATATTACTGAAAATTTCAAACACAAAATGAAAATGAACTGTACTTACTGTTCATCAAAATCTAACATGGGTGGATCAAACCTTATAGGACTAGATGGCAAGCTACTTTCTTGTAAACTGTAAAAGAAAAACAATATGTAAATGAACAAATCCTGTTTTATGTTTTAGTTAAAAATAATAATCATAATAATCACTTAGATAATACAGGGTATTTTTCACTACAAGAATTCATAGCATTTCTTTCATATTTTAATATGAATATTTTTAAAAAAATGAATTAAAGTTTAATCTAACTACTTCAATCAAAACAATAGCATTTCAGTCAACAAAACTGAAAAAAAAACAGTTAATCCATTTATCACTTGAAAAAGATGAACATCATAAGATTTTAGATCAGCCCTAATAAGATTACTCAATTATTTCTAAGTTATCATAAAACTAACAAAATAAACCATAAAATTCTGCCTTAGGCCCCTATTCCACACAGACCACGGGTCCCACGAATCACCAGGAATTGACAAATTTCAGGATTCGTGAGATTTTGCCAATTTTCTGGTCTAATTCGACACGCTCATGATTCAGTTACGATACAGGTGCGATAGTGTTACGAATATTCGTGGGATTCGGCTAGAGTCGTGAGATTTTGCCAATTTTCTGGTCTAATTCGACACGCTCTACGATTCAGTTATGATACAGGTGCGATAGTGTTACCAATATTCGTGGGATTCGGCTGGAATCGCACGAATATTGTCCAGAAATTCACTACGATTATTTGGAATCGTGAGTTCGTGGCCAAAACTTTGAACAGCTCAAAATTTTTGCCACGAATTCCCAATTGATCAAGAATTGCAAGAACTGACTACGATTGTATACGAATCTGTTAAGAACTTCACGAACTGATTACGATTCAACCACGAATCCTGAAATTTTCAATTCCTGGCGATTCGTCGGATTCGTGGTCTGTGTGAAATAGGGGTATCAAAGTTTTTGCCACCAATTCCTGTTGGTCAAGAAGTGCAAGAACTGACTACAAATATATACGAATCTGTTAAGAACTTCACAAACTGATTACGATTCAACCACGAATCGTAAAATTTGTCAATTCATGGCCATTCGTGGGATTCGTGGTCTGTGTGAAATAGGGGCATAATGAAGTACTAGTACTTGTTTACAGATAGAAATTTCCAAACTGAAAACATCTTGCAGTTCAGCCATCAAAAGAGTCCATTTTTCTGTATCATTTGTTTTCAATATTAATGTGCCAGCAAAGCCACATGATAATCAAACCATTTTCTTTTTTTCATTACAAGGATGTTACTCTACATGGCTATGTCCTCCTATAAACCAAAGCTTAAGCCAGATAGAGATACATACAAAATCACACACTCAAGTTCTTTTAAATTAATTTCCACATACAGCACAACACAATTAACACTATTCTATATTCAAAATTCCTCAACTTTAAAAAAAAAAGAAGCTGCAAATTTTATGAGAAGGAACTGCATAGACACTATGCTAGAATGGCCATTTGTGAGAAAAGGTTCATATATTATTATTTCTATCAAATCTTACAAAACCCCTCAAAATAGTCCCAATACGAAATAACAATATACTATAACTTCCTGGTCAAAAGTTGAGGGCTCAATTCACGTAACTTATGTTTACAAAATATACACAACCTGAATGAACTTCACCTCAGCACATTTTTTACTCTTTCTCAACAAATATGACTTTGAATGCATTGGGAATATATTTTTAACAACTGCAGACATTAAATTCTGTACACTAAAATGCACTCAAGGGATGCACTTCATTATAGCCTACTATCTAACTAGGGCACACGTTGTTCACCCATCTCCTGGTCGCTGTCACGTTTCGAGAGGTTGTACTAAAGGTTACTTCTGACAAGATTAGATGACAGTGATTATCGTACTAAAGCCTATATATCACCTCCTTCAGGGATCAAGTGGGCCGCTTCCTAATTACTACAGAGTATCCAGATATGGACCATCAATCTGTCACCAGAAGATGAAATAAATGTTTTGGGTCCCCGTGTCTTCTTTATACTGGGCTTTCCCTGGGAGTGTCTTATCCAATGCCTTTTGGCCAAATAGCTGGATCATTTGATCCAAATCAAAATAATCATCCAGATCAGTGATAAATTTGGCTAAACAGTGCACTTAGTTTCATTAGTCATATTAGAATATAGTATGTTTAGCAATAAGCCAAATGCAATATATTAGAGGAAGTCCTGTCATACCTTACATGGTCTGCAATGATAGATTTTTTATGAATGAGTATGCTTAGTGAACACCCACTTCAATCTACTTTGGAGTAATTTAAGAGAGGAAATTGGTTTATGCAAGCATTCACAGCTTTAACTGCTCCTAATTCAATGTAAAATCTGAAGGAATTAATATATATTAGTTTTTAATTTTTCTTCACATGATATAGTTTTTCTGTTGCAGCTCTGAGCAAACACACCACTGCACTACCTGGGAAGACTTTGGGATAAAATTGCTTTCAAACAAGAGAGAGAGAGAGAGAGAGAGAGAGAGAGAGAGAGAGGGAAAGAGAGAAGGAGAGAGAGAGAGAGCGTAAATGCGTGTGTATATGTGTGCGAGAGAGAGAGAAAGAGAGAGCGTGCGTGCGTGTGTATATGCGTGCGTGCGTGTTTAAAAATGATAAGAAATTTAACATTTTCATTAGGCTTAGCCATATTAAATTATTTGCATTTGGCTCGCATTTACTATACACCAGGCCAAGTCTAGAGTGCAGGAACTGGAGGTATAACATATCACTTCCTTCTTGAGACACCCGACTTTATTAACACAACCTTTCATCCTCGACCAAAGAAATCATTTCAAAAATGGAGCACTCCAAACAATGCCTATTCTCCACAACTAAACAGAGCATCATGTACGACTTGTCAGGGTATTTGGTTGGAAATCTTAAGATTAACAGGATCAAATCTGAAAACTGTGGAGTGTTTACTGTTTTCAATGGGTTATAAGAGGTTTTTAAATTAAAGCACAACCACCAGGTATAGAAGTGCAGAAAAAAAGGTTATTCAATCATGTATTCTTTGAGATAAAGTCCTGAATCACGTATGGCAATGTATTTGGTGTTAATAGCACTTGCCCATCATAGAGATCATTCAAAATACCAAGTAGTATACCCCTCACTTAGGCAGTAACTTTGAACAGCTATTAGGAAAGTTATATTGGTAGGATCATAAATAAAACCCATTATTTCACAAAAAAAAGTTTGAGACTAAAAGGATCCATTTTCATTTCCCAAATATGAACAAAACATACTCTGATTACAATATACATCCACCCTGGCTATATATCCAGACTACTTGGTGTTCTATGGAAAAGTAATTTTAAAAGTCACGCCAGAAAGAGCGTGCCATCTCCAAATAAACTGAGAAGTTTTGTTACAAACAAATTCTTGTTTTGTAATGGGCAATGGGCATGGTAAGTGCACATCTCAAGTATGGTGACCTTTAGTTTTTGTAGGTCAGGGAATACAAAGCAAGTACTAGTTCTTCAGGCCTCTTTTCTTTACAAACTCCTGCAACCTTCCATCATTCAAGTGAAAATTAATCTGCTCCTGGGTCCACAGCCACAAGGGCCTATCCAATACCAATCTCCTTCATAGAAGATTAGCAACTGTACTAGTAAATACATCTTTCACACATTCCCCCATCAAAATAACCCAATCATTGTGCACTTTCTACAGGTATAACAATCATCAGTAGCACCTCATTCTTGTGGCCTGGTTTGGAGGGGATTTAGAGCCTATGCTGTTAATATACCAACTGTATAATTATAACAGATAGTAATTAAGGGGAACTTTCTAACTTCTTCATGCATATCTCAATTATCACCCGGAACAAATATTCTCATTTCATAATCTTAATTCTAACCTTTACCTGACCTTTGGAAAAAAACTGAATTAATGAAGAATATTTGTTCATTTAAGCCAGAGTTAATTCCTTCACATGGAATAATTTAGAGTATTATGGAGGTAAGTATGCTCAGGTGTTATTTCATGATTCAGCTGTTACTCTATGTACCCCGACACTGTCAATCAACAATTCAGAACTCAGTACATATACTTTGCACAGCCGATGTTTTATGTTGTCTCAGCCTGTGTGCATGAATACACATGTGTAAGCTTACTTGCATGCATGCAGATAAAAACACACATGCACAGGATTTTCAATTCATACACAAGCACACGTCTGTATTATGTATGCATACAAACACATGCAGGCACACACACACACACACACACACACACATGCACACACCTCATGTCACTGTGGAGACAGACTCAACACCTGTTTTTCTCGACTCAGTTGCCTGATCACATTCCATCACTTAATATTTCATTTGTGGCATCAGTGCACATGACCTGGTTGATGTTTTTTTTTTTTTTTCTTATATCACCTGCCACTATGTATCCTACAAATGACTTGTGCAAGACTGCACTGCTGTAAACAGATCGTTTGTATTAGTACACACCAAATACAACTCAAAACAGCCAATAAATTATATTATAAAGATTACATTTTGAAATATATCTTTAAAACAACCCACTAATCCTATTTGGTATGTCTATTTGATTATCAGTCTTTACATAATTTACTTCTATTCAATGATCCTTGATTTTCCCTTTCATTTCCAACATACAAGCACTGTACATTAATGTTTCTCAAACCTAGTGAGCTGAGAGGGGGAGGCTGCATCTAAAACCTATCACAATCATTCACTCCGCACACTCACTACTTACTACCTAGGCTGCCCTATAGATACCTTTCCAGGTTGTTGTTATACTTGAGGTTACTTCCTAGGCCACTTAGCGGCGGGTTTTTGATGTGCCCGTTCACAAACGCATTACGGCAAGGTGGGGGTCATGCCAAATATACCCAGGCAAGCGCAATTTGCTCAAGTCAATCAGTTCAAAATGTCCAACACAATCAATTTCAAACTTATCAATGAAAAACTTTTTAATTAGCCACAATATCTATTGGTTACTGCCATTGGCAAAAATTAATATAAATGATGCTATGGCTTCAAAGTCACTTTCAAACCTAGTGGCATCTTAAATTTATGGACGTACTGACCAGTTTAAAGCAATAACCCCCCCTATTAAAATGTCACTTGGATACCAGATTCACTTAATACCCATACTAAAAACTATCAAGAGCAAAAGCAGGAGTTTTATGAAATTCAAATATCTGAGAATTACCACCCTGGCTAGACAGAGGTAGACAAAGTAAGGGTAAGGCCTTCTGGGACTGATTAGAAGATTTAAATTCAAATGAGTGAGTGAATTATCCAGCCTCAATGTTGGTTCAACCTTCACATAAACAAGGTAGTTTATTCTCTAACATTTTCTTTTCATCACTCTGCATTTTCTTTTCATTACAGCACCACCATAAACAGAACTTTCAGCAGCCTTCAGTGCAAGCCATGCTCATAGAAAACTACAATGTATGGCTTGCTTGGTGCTTTCAATATTTGACGTAAGAAACAACCTTAAATGACAATGGTAAGGAGTGGTTCAGTGCTTTAGTACAATATCTCTACCGGCCAACCAACTTGAACACTTACAGAACCAAAAAGTGATAGTTTGTGCATTTCTACAAGTTAAAAGTCACAGCCTTTCAACTCTGTACAGCTATTTTTGCATTCATAGAAGCAATCACAAGTGCTTGTATTATCATTACACCTGCAATTAATTGATCAGATTATTAAACTGAAAAAATGAATGAGTTCACTTAAAATCTGTGTTGTTCCAAGTTGAGGAAAAAATACATACACCAAGTGTAAAAATTTTGTCATGCTTTAATCATGTCAATTTTTTTTAATCAAAACAATTAAGTACAACAAATATTCTTATTCATGTTCCCAATGACAAACAGAAAAATGTTTATTCCACTGGTGTCAATGAACTCTCCTATTGGTTCATGCAGTCTACCTCTTGGCTTTCATAAGCAATGCTTATGAAAAAGGTAAAAGAAACTAGCCCTTTGTTATCATACTGTGAAGCCGATTCTGCAAGGCCCAACACGATATCAAATTTATACAAGTGACCACTTTGTCCAGCCACAACATTGAATTTCAAAATACATGTGATGGCAGACCACAACCCCCCACACAGATCCACATACACACTTCCTCCGGTCATCAAAAACCACTATACATAATCAGTATCCCATTAGAGACCTCACGGCAAACTAGGAGAAGAAGTTCCACTTCAACTTCACCTGGCCATATATCACATAGCAGTCCCCACTCCACATATTGATCTCACTGCTGATGTTCTATATGGATATATTGAAAACATCCAGACTACTGAACTAAGAGGTCTGCGGCAGGCAATGACTATAAACCAATTAGTTAAATTAATCACTTCTGCTATGATCCTCCTCCTCCATCTTCTGTCAGAATAGCAGCAGCAACAATTCTTAGGCCTTGATGAATAAATATTGCCATAATTGGAACTGAACATTTTAAGTGAACAGGCTGGTCAACTTTGGCTTTTTATAACTATTGATAAACAAAATGAAATCATTTTAAAGAGACAAGAAATACAAACAAATGGAATAACTGCCATTTACTTGGATGCACTTACAGTAATATGGGTCAAATAGTAAAGATAAGTCTGTATTAATCAGCCGATTTTATTAAATAGCAGTTTTGAGAGAAGTGTTGCATCCGTTTTAGAAGTAAATGTGAAATTTTAGTTATACTATCCATTGTAAGGCACCTTGAGGTAGTACGTCAAGGCGCCAAATAAGAAAGGTATTATTATTATTAAAGCAACTGCAAAGTTTTGCCCAATCAAAGTGCTAATTTATACCTTCAGTATACCACATGGCTAGACTGTCTTCTATTATAATTACCACTCTTTCCTTGTCTATGAACTTTCTGATCATTTCTGTTCATGGAGGATAGTTCAGATTTTTTGATAATAGTACAAAATGTTTTTGGGAACCTTGCAGGAATAAAAAAAAAAAAGACAGGTTTTGATTTTTCTGGATTTGATTTTTTATTTTTTTATTCATTTATTTATTTTTATTATTATTATTTCCTTTTTTTTTTTTTTTTTTGGTATGATTAGTCATGGATTCCTTCTTCTGCACAGGACTAAAGATTTCAAACAGTGAACATTTTACAGCTGTACTTTTCATTCCTATTTATTTTTCAAATTTTAATTTTATTTTCTTTCAGTATAATATTAGTTTTTTTTTTTTCCAACCGTGTTTCATTCTGCAGTATCTCATTCAATCTTCTGGCTGCGGCCCATCTATCTTCAAATTGTATATCTTTCTTAAACGTCTCTACACAAATACCATTTCAATGTTCTCTTTCCTAATTCCAAATCATCACAACATAAAGTACCTACACAACAAATATCAGGTATTTTACTTAGCTAAACAGAATTTAATTCATACTAGACATAAGCTTTGCATTCCCCAAATAGATATTCACCTCTTTTATCTTGGCTACAAAAAGCTTTTTAAACGATATGTAAAGTAGTGTTTGCATACATTTGTCTGCTATCCCAGGGAAAAAGCCACTATCATTGTTGTTAAGGAGCATACTCGCCTGGCTGATGAGCTCCTGGATAGTCAATCAATATCTCCATTAGAGCTCGTCCCACCAACACCAGACTATTGATTTGCGCGAGTCCCTTTTACCTTAGCTTTTCCATTGACCAATGAAATCCTGCCATGTTGGCTAAGTGATCAATAGCTTTTCTGATGCAAAGCATCAAAATACAAGTAAATCCATCTGAATCTTTTATTCTTGCCATTTGACCCAAAACATCTTTATTTAGAGCATTTGTTGATGCAGCTATGTTTTTCATTCCCGGAATGAACAGACAATGAGCTATATAGCAAAAACTGCTAGCACGATATAGAAGAAAATTTTGCTGCCACAGCACACACCATATCATGCATAGCCATAATTTCGGTAATTACCCTTGTTTATAAAATATTCTGCCTGCTCAAAATTACAGTTTTACTCATGGCTAGCTGCTATCATGCTGAATATCTCTCTCTTCCCATTATCTCTGCACTCTTAATGGTTTTGTGCTTAGCACACTGTCCCCTCACCTTCGGTTATCATTTAACCTTCTTCCTGTTAGAATAACTTTCTGACCAGTAGCAAAAATGATGCAAAGATTTGCAGTATAGAGGTTTAAACCTTTCAAATGTCTTTTTTTTTCCTTAACCAAACTCAGTTTCCTTTTTTGTGCATAGTTTCAAAGCTTTCAATTAATATTACAGTTGATATCCCTTGGGTTAACTGTTAGTCACTCCTCTGTAATGACTGTGAAAGAGATTACTGTTCCTACAACAGTGCTTACAATACTATACTGTGTTACTACAGAAGCTTAAAAGATAAACATAAGTTATTCAGCTAGTTATTTTGGGGCTTCAAAATGAATAGTAACAGCCATGTTTTAACGGAAAGTAATGTACAAACACACGATACAGTTATCCCATGCTTTCTTCAGCTTCTCATATATCTATCAAGATAAAATTTGAAGCATACAAATAATAACCAACTTATCAATGTCCCAGTTTTAGAAGTTCAAGATAAAAACAAACATCTCAGTTTCTGCCTTACCTATTTATATCTGGGAATTCTCCTCCTGGTACGTTCTGAAAAATAAATAAAAACCATTTGAGAACAATGAAGGTTTTAATTTCAATAACATATAACAACTATATAATCTCAAAAACTATATATATGGTATACTACCTAAGCTCCAAATTTTGTATCAAATAATCAACCTGGCAAACAATGTGACATTACCAGATACTAGTACATACTTTACTTCCNTTCTTCCTGTTAGAATAACTTTCTGACCAGTAGCAAAAATGATGCAAAGATTTGCAGTATAGAGGTTTAAACCTTTCAAATGTCTTTTTTTTTCCTTAACCAAACTCAGTTTCCTTTTTTGTGCATAGTTTCAAAGCTTTCAATTAATATTACAGTTGATATCCCTTGGGTTAACTGTTAGTCACTCCTCTGTAATGACTGTGAAAGAGATTACTGTTCCTACAACAGTGCTTACAATACTATACTGTGTTACTACAGAAGCTTAAAAGATAAACATAAGTTATTCAGCTAGTTATTTTGGGGCTTCAAAATGAATAGTAACAGCCATGTTTTAACGGAAAGTAATGTACAAACACACGATACAGTTATCCCATGCTTTCTTCAGCTTCTCATATATCTATCAAGATAAAATTTGAAGCATACAAATAATAACCAACTTATCAATGTCCCAGTTTTAGAAGTTCAAGATAAAAACAAACATCTCAGTTTCTGCCTTACCTATTTATATCTGGGAATTCTCCTCCTGGTACGTTCTGAAAAATAAATTATATTTCATTTGAGAACACTGAAGATTTTAATTTCAATAACATATAAAAACTGTATAATCTCAAAAACTATAGTTATGGTATATTCCATGAGTCCCACATTTTTTATCAAATAATCAACCTGACAAACAATGTTACATTACCAGATACGTACTTTACTTCCAGATCTGTTACAGTTAGTCCCCATAGTTCTGCCTTTAGTATAATCAAGAACAAACTTCTGGAGAAACCAAAACACATTCAGAAAAGACCAAAATCCAAACAACATCTGTATAGACATCTTTGAAGGGTAGGAGACACTATAGCCACAGTACAGAAGACGGGCAGTTGGGCCACTAATTCTTATCAACTGTTCTCATCTCATTCTATATGACTTGGCACAAGACCACAGGTGAAAACAGAAAGCTAGTAATCAACCCCCTTGTCTTGATCAAGATGTATCTATGGCCACATCTGACTACTTAAATGTTAAGTATACACGTGTCCAAGAGCCAAATAATACACTATAATTTACAAAACTGTTATCATTTCTGTGAAATGTACTTGATGATACAATCTTGAAAAAACATAAAAAATACACCATGAGCACTGTAATCTCTACAGTACAAGTTCACGTCGATGTAGATCAACGTGTTTTGAAATTTCATGCACGTGATGTAGGTTATTTGGCACTCACAGGCAAGTGTGGACCGTCCACCATGTATCTGAGTTCATTGTCAGTTTGGATAAATACTGAAATATAAAATACGACACTCTGAACCAATTGAATGACGATTTTTGTCAATCTATGTAAAAAAAATACATCGGAGATTATATCGAAGTCTGAAGTGAGAATGATGTCAAGACGATAAATTTCACACAGACATACGTCCACTTTACTTCAAGGTTATATTATTTATCACAGATCGAGTGATGTTTATGTAGTAAATTACCTTGTCCATGGCTATCAAATCCTTGAATTCCTTGTGTGTTGCTGGTAAAAACGTTTAAAAACAGAAGTATATTCAAGAATTCTAAAACAATCTCCCCTCTTTCACTGCCCGCCATGCTTCTTTATTTGGAACTACGTCTACCATAGATAAAACTTGGAGACATAGTTTCGGCATGTAAACAAAAACAATGTCATGAATATTTTATGAATGCGTTAAAGTAATAAGACTGCTTGTCTCATTATTTGATGATAAATTCGTAATGTATCTACTCTTTCTATTCGATTATAGAACACAAACATATTTTATTTCACGTAAATTCAAAATATATCTTTAGCTCTGCTTGGTTACTTGGAGACTGCTGCTATTAAAACACCTATTTTGATTGGTCCACATAAGCAAATGGTCTATGTGATAAAAAAAGAAAATAGTGGTATTGTGCGTTACTTTTTATTATCTCAGAGCTACAAAATTAACTTGCTATATTTAAAAGATACCGTTTTATCACAAGGTATATTTTGTTTCATTAAATGATGCAGACAAATATTAAACAAAGACATTTTTCCATCGAGAGAGCCACACAAGTGTCCAATAGAATTGCTTTTAACAAAGTTGTTCAGAAAGCGCAATATTGGAAAATAGGATTAAGCTCTGATGAGGTAAGCAAGGAAACGTGTCGAATGGATATATTTTCAGCGCATTAATTTACTGGATTTAGTTGTCGGTGGTGTGCCACTTTATTGGTTCCTAATATCCTACTTTTAACAGACTGAAGAGACCCCATCACAGCAATGGCATAATATTGAATTGGGGAGGGGTTCAAATGGGAGGAGGGGGGGGGGGTATCACCCTGCTATTTTTTGCCTACCCCAGTACAGTACAGTACAGTACAGTACAGTACAGAATCAGCTCCAAAGGCTACCATTGGTATGATTAGATATCGAAAAAAGATAAGATGATTTATGGAGTGCTGGAGATGAAAAACTCTGTTGATAAAGTTTGGACTGGGGATAAAAAATAGTAATACTCATTATACTGATGTCATTTCCAAGTTACACCATAATTGGATTCCCTGTACATTTAATCTTAAGAACTGTGTATATTTTGAAGACCACTTTTTTATTTGTTACGAAATTTGCAATCTGAATTTCCACTGTGAGGAAAAATGCATTTGTGAACAGGGATATTTACATCTGACTTCAATGAATCTGAGGCCATAATTTGGGTAGTTAAAGACAATACTGTGCATGGTCCCTTTAAATGTAAGCCAATCTTAGTATGCTTTTTATCAAAATAAAAATGAGGGATGTGGAGAAGATGCACCTACCACCCATATCTTCAAACTTTTGTTCAAAGTTGAAAAAAAAAGAAAGAAATGGGTATTATTTATGGTAGTTAAAGCCATCTTCATCAGTTCCAAACAATTGTTTATGAGCAGCATGAGTATTGTGTTGTCAATGATGACAATATTGTCATATTGCCTGAATCACCAAACAAACATCAAAGAGTCAATGTTCATCTAGGTATGTGATCATTTTCCAAAGGAACAGATATATTAATTCCTGAGTCATGTTTGAGTCATATCATTTCATATCAAGTGGAATTATTTGCTACGTGTTATGTGATGATGAGTTTTCTGCCATGTGGGATGTGATGATGTGTTTTCTGCCACATGGGAATGAAGTAAAAACTATGATAATTAGTGCTACTTTTGCCCTCATTGATACAGCAGCTTCGAAGAATTTATGAACTAAGTCTTAAATGATATAGGGTTTCTGGAAACCACCATTATAATAGGCTTGATTCTTTTCTTCCATAATATTTGTAAGTACATACTGATTATTTACTGATATCACTTCTTTTGACTTAATTAATATGATATTTTTGACGTAATTAATATGAGTTTTATATTGCAGATAGTTGACAAAAAGCCAAATGTTGTTTTATATTATGGTAGTTTGGTTCCTTCGGACTTGATAGTTTGAGAAGTTTTTAGCTTTCTGATTAGTACACTAAATAATCTTGTGTTTCATAAAATGATAATGTGTTTGCAAATAATATGCCAATCTACCTACAAGTTGAAGACAAAGAAAAACTGCCATTTTAATGATTGTCTGCAGTTATCTTATCAGGTTAATAGAATTGTTATTATTACAATGTTGGGTCAATGTCCTAAATAAAGGCTGGTATTATAAATGACAGCTGTGGTAGTTGTGCCGTCTTCTCTAGCGCAATCATGGCATGACACTCGCAATGGGGGGGGGGGGGGGCGGGCTGAGGTGAGGTAACAAGGAAAAGAGGGTCAAAAGTGAAGTTAACTCAGTGGTATCATTTTAGTATGTTTAGCTGTTTTAATTCACAATAAGCATGAGATACTAATAAAAGTGCAATCGTGTGTAACTACCACTGCTAGGGTGGCATTAGCAATTCTTTTTCATTTAGCCAAAATACTACTTTTTCATCTTTGTTGTGTCCAAATGGTTTAAATTTGACTAGAATAAATCCAATCAATCCTATTTTGTTTAGCCAATTCCAGTCAGTTTTAGCATGTGGCTAAATTATCGAGTGTTAGCGCTACCCCATCACTGGTTTGTGTTTTAAGAGATTTTTATAGAAGTCAGTGGGGCATGATCATTTTGCCTTTTAATGAAAATTACTGGCAATTATAATAGGCAAAATGATCACAAACAGAAAATATCTGTTACTACTTCCAGGTTCACTTCCCAAGAGACCAAGCAGCCTCTTCCTCCTTTTCTGCTCATGTGAGTTTCATGTAGTTTTAGCATTTGTAATATCTTTGAGTTGGTTTCTCATCTGCTAGAAACTTTTCAACTTTTGCCTTGATTTTTCTACCCATTCAGAAGTCTGACATTTCAATATTCTGAAGAGATTTAGATATTCCTTAGTAGAAATAAAAATTCCTTGTTGGTTTATGAGAACTGATCCATGCTGGTTATAAGAAATTCAGAAAGGTTAAAAGTCAAGAAGACAGATTTTGTCATTTTCTGAAAGGCCTTTTGAAGCTAAATGATAAAGATGAAAAAATTATTGTCAGTTTCTAGCTGGGTTTGAAGTATGTACCATACAGAAGAAGTAAAAGAAAACTGACTGTGGTACATGCTCAGGAAGTTTAATTTTGTCTCAGAAATAGATTTTTGTAATTTCCTTTATCCTATTCATTGCTGTTATATACTATCCTGTTCTTGACTATGCTCTATTCTTTCCAGCTAGTAGTGTGTCTGTTCCTAGTCCCTCATGTTTTCTGTGCTGTGTAATCGTGTCTGGTATGCCGTCTACTTTACCCTGCTGCACCCCATGCTGAAGTGGTTGCTGCGGAAGGTCACAGGGAAGTGTGAGCTCCTAAGAATATGCTATGGGGAGCAGGTTGGTGCTCCAAGAACACGAGCTATTGGTAAGTTTTTATCATTAATGCCATCATTTTTTAGGTAACTGGACTTAAGCTCCAATAACTTTTTTCTCTTATTTTTTTAAGGGATACAATACATGTTAGACCTTTATGTAGCAGAAATAAAAATGGAAATTTCAGCAATTTGCTATTTTTGTTCAAGGTATGCTCTGTCTTAAACTGTTGACACTTTTGCCATCTATAAGCCCATTGTATCATAGATAACTTTTTTACCATCTAGAAAATTAACCTGTCTGTCTGTTTCTCCGTTACATGAATGTCTCTAAAACTTAGAGCTAAAAAAATGGATTTTTGGATTGTAAATCTGTGACTGGTTTCCGATATTTGATTGTGGGAAAATATTTGGAATTTATGGAATATTTTGTTATGGTACAAAGTTTATGAAAGGTATTCTTGTCCCCTAAATCTGCACTCCGAATAGAAGTTATCAAAGTAGCAGGATCAATCTCTCTGGGGAGGAGGGGATTCTAACTGAGGGATTGTCAATGTAATCAGCTTAATTGTCTGGCAGGCCCCTTTCAAGGCAACATGAACCAAATCACAACAAAGATTTTCCGACTTTACCCAGACAAGTAGATTAAGTTAAAAGTGGGCTTGCCAGACAATTGAGCTGATTATATTCACTGCACTTAGAGTGAAACTTCGCTGATGTAGACTGATCCTGCTAGTACAATCAATAACTTCTATTTTGAACATTGCCCAAGACAAAATCCAACCAATAGCTTTGTAAATAGTGTAAAAATATGATGATGAAATTCACAAATGATTTTCATGATCCTTGACTGGGAGAAAAAATTGTGATGGGTGAGATTTGTTGGAATGTGCACTAATCAAGGGTGCAGCTAACACACTGAAGACAACCCAGAAAACGCTAAAATGTTTTTGAAACTTTATTAAAATGTTTTTGCAATTATTATAAAAATATTTTATTACCTAATTTTGTATGGTATTAAAAATGTTTTTTCAACATTTTCAAATGAGTTTTGGAAAACATAAGTTTAATGTTCTGAGAAAACATTCATGGAAAACATTTAAATGTTATCTTAATTTTTTTTTTTCTTTTTTCAATTTATGATTACTAGTATATTGTTTCTATGTAATTAAGTAGGGTGTTAAAATGTGTAGAATCACAATATAAAACAAAACACAGTGTATGTTTAAGAGAAGTAAAGATGGGTATTGGGAATACAGCTGTATGAAACATTCAAACTGGAGGTCTGCCAACAGGTTTTTGTTACAAATAGCCTATCAATACATATTCCCTGAATGATCCTGGTGAATGCCGCAGTCATGATTAGGGCTCTTTGCAGCAGTGTTAAAATACCAGAGTTACTGAAACATATTTTAACAAGGACAGATACAGACAAAAAAATCAAATGTTTAACAGTTTTTTTACCCAAGACCTTAAATGCACCAGAAGAATATTTTTATTACTAGAAATTGAATGTTATTTCATACTAGTGTGGAACAATAAGGGAAAAATGTGGTTTAGTTTATCTGTATTGAGCTATGTAGCCTTAACTAAACAAGCAAGGCAATTTGACAAATAGGGGAATACTACCTCAACTGGCTTGTCATGTCAGAAAAAAGTGACTTGCTTACATTTAGAAATATGATATACGTCCAAGCTATAACTTAACTGAAATGGAGCAAGATATCGAAGCATTTCAGGATAAATAGTGGTTAAGTTGTGGCACAACATGTGTTTACTTTAGTGTCCGAACCACGAAGAGTATTTCCTGGAAATGCAGGGAGTGACAGAAGATTGGATCTTCCCCTCTCTCTGTAATCCTTGAGATAAACATATCAGTCTTGTCTCCACCTAGGGTGCTAACACTTGTATGGTGTTTCTCTCTACGTTTTATGGTATCTATGGTTGCCATGATGATTTGGACAGACTGTGCCGTCCTCTCTGCTCATCCTGTCTGCTTGTACCTGATTGTTTGTATAGAAGCAGTTGTAGGTGTGAAAGGATTAACGGCAGATCCTTCAGTGAGATGGCAGGAATCACACATTTATGTTGATTTCAGCATCATATGGTTGTTGGTTAAATGTACCAAATAATAAATGACTTTTCATTATGTATAGACCTAGACCACATTCCCGGAGATTTAGATCGATCCAACTAGATCGACCTAACTCCCTGGGGGTTCACACTAAATTGCTGTCAGATGACCGCGCAATGAAGTTAATTACCCCCTTACAGCTTTTAGTAGGTAGGACAGACATGCTGATAGTAATCTAGTGAGACTCCCCACTGGGTTAGATCGATCTAAAATCTGTAGGAATGGGGTCCTAGATGTGTCTGTACATGTAGCCGTTGCCTGTGTCATTCTTTTTTAATCAGCATATTTTATCAGTTTGGCAAATTGACAAACCAACTTGATTGGATTATTTTTTTGTCTTGGTGTTTGTACTTTTGACAGCTTTGCTGCCTTGTTTTTGTATGTTATTTATTATGTTTTTTCGCTTTTTTTTTAAAGACTAATTACTCTCACCTTCTTCCTCTCCCTCTTTTCCCCACCATCTCTATCTCTCAAAAGCTTGGACATTGTGATTTTCATTAAAATAGACTCTATCAGAATTGACCTAATTTAATTGAGGATGTTGCCATTAAGAAAGAGGCTTGAGGATATTTGTTAAGTGGGAAACTGAGGAGATGCATCCTGAGAAGTACAGACTTCAGTTTTGTCTCTCCTGTCAAGTATAATTCATAGTCCAAGTAGGAGACGGACAGAAAATTGAATTACTTTAATTTTCCATACTCTTGAGTGACAAGAGAAAGTTTCAGGAGTATGGCCTTTAATTTTTATATTATCTATTAAAAAAGTATATACTGGGAACCACATTTAATTTTTTAAATGGTTAAAAACATTAACTGCATGTTGATGGAAATATAAGTCTAAATATTAGTATTTAAAATATTTTATTTTTCAATTATATTCCCCTTTTAATATATGATTTAATGTAAAGGTTTATGTAGTTTTCACAGGCATTTGTTGATAAGAGATTATTTTCTACCAAATTAAAGATTTGAAATATCTTTTTCATTGAAATCCATGACATCAGGTACTAAATGAATCATTTTGAAGAACAGTTGCAGTTTTATAAATTCTATTTAAAGCTCCTTCAATGAACTTCATTAAAAATTCATGTTTCATGTGTGATGAAATTAGTGTGAACGAATGATGAAAACACATGGTGTAACCGTGTTATGAGTCAAAACAAGAGAATTGATTTCCACCCCACACCACTTTCTAGAAAGAATGCTGACTATGCCTCCGTCAATATGAGAAAATATCGGCCGGGATTGTGCAATGATTAATTACTGATTGTACCTCTTTAATCTCCTTTCACTTTGAAATATTCCTTATTCACCTGACTACAGAATACAGAGGCCAACCTCTATAATCTGATGGTCCATTTAATCATATTATGGTCATGTGACACATCCCAAGGCTGCGATTGGTCGAAGGAGACAGCTGGGGGTTTTCAGTGGTAGCACATGGTCTACAGTGTGAAGTGACAGGCAGTATCATTATAGGGCTCTCAGCGAAGGTGTTTCCCTACAGGTTATTGGTCTCTATACAGGTGTAAAATACAGTTCTGGTGGTCAGAGAGTCCTAGCACTGGTCTGCCGTGCTAGGTACTGGAATTAGTAACTGAACATTTGCCATGATGTCTTGCCTGTTAATTCTTATTTTTGGATACAAGTTGGAAAGGATTTGTACCAACAAGAAGGCCAGTATTGGTGAAAAAACACAGAATGTTGGTAAGTTTTCTATTGGGTTAGTACATTACTGTGGCAGATAGAATGTTCTAAATAGAAATCTCTTTCAGAAGAGAAAAGTCAAATCATATGTGGTGAAATAATTTTGTGATTCATCAAGATTAAGGATATATAAGTCATTGGTTTATCTCAAAAAAAGTTGTGACCATTGTTATGAATCCAATAACCACTTGTTACCCAAGCTCTATTTATGGTATATGAGAAAAGGAAGTTCGAGAAATGTGTGGGAGTTTAAGTATAATACAGATAAAAGTGACTTATGATATGCATGGCCAACCATCTTCACAGATAGCCGCAGAAAATATGTAGAATATTTTATCTATGGGGGAATTTTGTGAAACCATTTTATGGTGTATGATCAGGATAGAGTATGAAAGAGAAAACTGTCTCCGAGTCTCTGACTGCATTTTTGAGCACAATCAAGATTTAGAAGATTGTACATGTTTTTGGGCCTTCTATATATAGTATATTCTATATATATGTAGTGTGCTTTGGTTTTAGCACGCTGCATGAGTGAGAGTTTGAATATCCTGAAAAATGTCTCAAACAATGTAGGAGCTGATGGGAATAAATGTCAGTTAGTTTTTAAATACTCCCTTAGATGAATTAAAACAACTGATTAAACAAAAAATCTTTTAAGGTGACTACTCATAAATGGATTGAATTAATATCTTTTTTTATGGAAGGTCAGAATAATCATCACCATAAATTAAAACATTTTTGTTCCTTTGATTGTCAAGTTTACAATCTCAAAATATTTTAATGACAGAACTGTTTTAATTTTACTACCAAATTATAAATAATTTTTATACTTGAGAAATTTTCAAAACGGTATTTGCATGGTAAAAAGGGATGTTATTTTAGCAAAATGTTGAAATTTACTAGTTCATTTAAGTATTAGCATTTTAATATCATACCTGCTGTCATAAGCTTTAATATTACAGCAGCTGTCATAAGTAGAAATGTAACTTGCTTATTGATTTGCAACATCTTGACAGCTTGACTAAAGGATAGAATTACTAGTATGTTTTCGCTTTTCCTGGAGATGAAATTTTTGTGGAATTATACACCAGCAGATCAGCTGATAAAATTCCTGGCGGGAGTGTATGACTTCTACATGTAGATACAATCAGTATAACAGTTAACTTAACTGCTAATTAACACTAATTACAGTCTTGATGAGTGCAGTCAGCTGCTAAGAAGTACATGTTTACATCAATGTTCTTCTCGTTAGTAAAAGAATATTGTTTCACGTTGTATTAGAGAAAATTGTGCAATCTCCTCGTTAATGTTGTGTACTTGCTGTGCATGGACAATATCACAGTGGTTGCTAATGTGACTTGATCCAGGGAAATTACTATGAAAGTCTCCTATTCTGGCCTAGTCATGAAAAGATTGTGCATTTACCTCCTGGGCCAAGAACAAGTAAAGATTAATGCAGGGTATACGGAAAGTATTCTTTTGTACTGTTGGCTGGTCTAATCCAATGATACAATATGAAATAATTGAGTTATTTCATTGTTGGAAATTTTGTACTTGTCATGGGTAATATGGCACAATGTGCGTGTGTGTGTACGTGTGTGTGTCCATGTGTGTGTGTGTGTGTGTGTGTGTGTGTGTTTTTAAAGAGCATTCCTTATCAACTAAATGCACTTATCTTTTGAGTTTGTATTTGATTATGTTATAATCTTTCTGAACAGTTGTGGTTTTAATCAGTTAGAGTAGGAAGTGTGATTTGTGTTATTATCTCTTTGTAGGATTGTTTCTGATACTAAAAGGTTAAATTTCCGTTTCATAGTCGGGGAGTATTCAAGAAGATTCATATTTATTCATACATAGTTTATTCATTGTAACATACTAGTATAAGTAGGTGATGAAGCAATTTGGCAGTGAGCTGCACTTTATTGTAGGTGGAGCATTTGCACATTTAATTTATTGAAAGGCATTAAAATACTGGAGATCCTGAACTCATTTTCCAGTACAAAAATTCATAACTTAAACATACAGTATTAAAAGTCATTAACATATCACCATTATCGTATCAGCATATTTTCATTCCTCAAACATCGCTTGCAGCAAAAAAAGAAGTGACATTGATTTGCAATAAAAAAAGTGGCCTTAGGTATCATTTATATGGTTTTTAATAATTATAATTCCATCTTTAGAAACACCTGACCAATGAACTACTTGGTAAATAAATGGCACCTTCAGCTATAAGAAAGGCTGAAATGAACACACAGTATTCCTGGGGGTTAAAGTATGCAGGTATGGGAATGCCCCATGTGACACTTTTACTGATGACCACGTACGTACGTAACAGTCATACACCTGATAGTATCAGGGATGTCTCAGGTATAGAGGGGGATTCACCCTGGAATGACTAAGATCAATTAAAATGGAAGCACTTTCTGTGTCATTGTATGCAAATATAGTATGTTAATATTACCTGGCTAGACAGATTTCCTTATAGCTGACACTTCTTGAGCGCCAGAGTTTTAGTGATTACTGAAAGATAACTGAAAAATATAACTTCATTAATTATTCAGCAGTTGTAACTAATTTTTTCTCCATTGACCAGCTGCCTTGGTTGATTTGACTCGGTATGCAGCTTATTCTATTATTCGCGAAAAAAAAACTCTTAAGTTGTGATATGTGAAATTTCTGTGTGGAAGTAAAAGAGACTGAAGTACTCGACTTGTATGCTTGAAATTGATATTTAGAAGAGGATATTACATGAGTTGGTAAAGATCAAAGAAACCAGTTGATTAAATCTGCCATGAAATGATTCAGGGATACTCGAATTAAACAGATTTCTCCTAAAGTTGTGTGAATAAATTAGCTCTTTTTTTCTTTTTTCTTTTTTTATCTTGTTATTTCTCACCTTTCCTATCTTGACATCTCAGTATTAAATCCAGTGTGTGATAGAAGCAAGCATGCTACAACACAGCCCCTGGAGAGAAGGCTCAGACCTCTAGCTGTGGTGAAGGATGTACTTACGCAACACTTAGCTAAACAGGGCCATTATGGACAATTTACTGAATGTAGCATTTCTTAAAGGCTCACAGTGGGTTGGACTGTGTTATTAACTGCCAGGATTTACTGGGCAGACAAAAACATGCTGGTACATGTGATATTTAGGGTCACTATAAAGTGAAATATGCCTTGCAATACCTCTGTCATGGTTTACCAACCCTGCGTGATATTTACTAGTATTGCTATAGCCAGCTTTGACATTTAAGAGGATTGCCTCAATTAATATAAGTAAAGTATCATTTATTACACAATAGGAATTGTAATTTTTGTAGAATTCCCACCACAACAAAACCCAGGCCAGTGGCTTTGATAGAGGGTTTCTATATGGTAAATTGTGAGGTCTCGGGTGTGTTTTGGTTCTCCTGTTCCCATGCAGGTGACAATGTTCCAATAGGAAATTTGAGTTGCCAATTTCAGTGTACTATTGTGGCAACTTTCTTCACAGTTATTGTCCACTGTTATCTGTATGTTGGGTAAGGATGAGGTTGAGTTGTGTAAATTAATGCAAGCTTTGTGTGTATGTTAGAATAGGAATGAGTTGAGTGAGGTAGTGAGGAGATGTGAGATAGATGGCATGAGCATGTTTATAGATTTGTAATTTGGAGTTGCTTATCAGCTTTCCACAAGTTTGTTCAAAACTGTCTTCCAAAAGTGTAGGCAGATGCTTTGTAAAGGGCATACTGTTCAATATAAAGCATGGACTATGAAATCTATTTAGGTTTTCATGCTCTTTGGGACATTATTAGTACCTATATAGATACTTTAAATCTAGCCAACCCGGAGAAGATAAATGACATTTCTTTTCAGATAGCTATTCATGGTGTTGGAATAACTGCACATATCAATATGACCAAGTAGAATTTCAAATAATTTGTTTTCAATTATGTGTCACCCCCCCCCCCCCCCATGTATATATATATATATATATATGTTCACCTTAGATCTTTGTTTTTAATTGCTGAACATGTACTTCACAGTTTGCATCAACAGCCATTTAATTCTCATAAACTTCTTGATTACAATCTTTATCCTCACGTCCACCGGTCAGCAATTAGTGTCCTGGAGAGGGTATGAGGTCATCTTGGTGACAGTGGTCAATTGTGGACAGTAGACCATGTGATTAAACACATACCTGTTGTAAGAGAAAAGGAATTAAAAGCTTTTAGTGGTCACAAGACCGTGCCTGGTCCTATTAATGGGCAGTGCCCTCCTCATTTCCTGTGGTCAAGCTGCAGCCATTGTAAGATGACCATTACTTCAATAGCTGCTGGGTGGACAGTAGTCACAAATCACTGGTTAAGTACCTGTGTCATGATATTGCCCATGGCCAGCTGCCTGTAAACTGTGTTGGGTTTAAGGCTGACTTTTTTGTTTGTTTATCTGTTTGTTTATTTGTTAGAAATTTGGTTGATGTTTGTCATCCAGGCGAAAAGGAAGAAAGCTGCATTTTAGAATAACAGATTCAACTTTCCTTTTCTTACTAGACGCTATTTACAAATGATGTGCTAGAATATTTAAGATTTGTTTATGTAAAGCATGATCATTGTATGCAAAAAAAAAAGATGCTTGTGAAATTAAATGTTTTCTATTTGAAATGACCATATATGATCTCAGGATTGTATTTTTCTCATGAAAGAAGTTCTCAACTTTTTGTGAAGAATATGACACAGGATAACCTTAGTTCCCACGATATGCTTAACATTATTTTTTTTAATTCATTGAATGATATGAAATACATATACAATATAAATGTTGATATATCTTATTTTTCCAGAAAAGTCATTAAAACATTCCAAGTTCCAAGCATTGAAGCGTCTGCTTACAGACAATCATGTGAACATAGATCAGGCAGTAGAACAGATCCTCAGCATCAAGTCCATCACAGTGGAAGTCCACCCGCAGTAAGTTGGACTCTATTTTATTGTACTTTATTATATGTATAAATGTCTTGCCCAAGAGTTTAATGCTCATATTTAATTTTTATACTAGTAATTTGTCAGCATACTTTGAAACATTGCCCTTAGTCTATACAAATGAGTGAATAGCTTAATTGAGCATGTTGGATTTTTATTTTATTTATTTTTATTTTTACAATTAAACTGAAGTACTTGTAAAAGTTTAAGGATTGAGACTAGAAAAGATAACTGTGGCTGCAGTATGTATAGTAAAAAATTTAATATACCTGCTAGACTATTAGTGCTTTTCTTTTAATAAAGATTTTCTTATATTGAATACTGTCACAATTTTTGATTTCCTGTGATGGGCATTGCTAGATTCAATTTCCTGAAATGGTCTTGGCTACTTTTGATTTCCGGTGGTCTTCAAAGCAGCATAACTGTAAATTACACTTGTAAAACATTAGATACATAACAGCATCCTGTGGTAAATTAATCAAAACAGATGGACATTGAAGTGCTACCAGGACAAATGAGGGTGTGATACAGGACTAGAGAGCTTGTTAACAAACAGCATATATCACCACTATGAGTCCCTATAGGGACAGATGTATGAGATCCAGTTATTAATGATCACGATGATAATAATTCATTGAATAGTTTACAGTAGTGTGCTCTCTAAACTACTGGTTATGTACAACAGGGACTACAAAAAAAAGACATAAAAAAGATGTAGTGCAATAAAAAAAAGGCGTTTTGAATATTAAAAAGCAGTTCTGTGTACAATACAGAAATTAAGTTTATACTAAATGTGCTGCAGTTGCCAGTATGTTGACAGCTGGGGAAGCTCTTTTAACTCTGATGTGCGTTTTAACTTATAATTAGAAAGTCTCCAATATTCTAGTTGCTGCCAAAATGGAAAAAGTTTTTGCAAAAATTAGGAGATAAAACACGTTTTGTTTAGTCATATTGCCCAATATGTGTAATAGCAAGAGAAAAAGAAATAAGGAAAATGTGATATTATTGCTTTTTATTTATGAGTGAACATTGTCCACTACCAACCAATGTGGTTACTGTCCACTTATTAGAAAAAGGTTTAATAATACCTGATCTGGAATAATTCTCCTGATTTTGAAATGATTCCACAGGAAAGGATATACTGCAAAGGAAATAATATTTCCCAAATGTCTCAAATTGATCTTTTCTATTGAAAATTGTTAGCCCAGTTCTTGGTATCATTACACAATGGTTTGCATGATCATTCTGAAAAAAAAATGAATAGCTTAAGTCATGTACAAAATTATAGACAGGATACTGCTTTGTTCTTAGGGTCTTATGAAAGTTAACAATCCTTCTGGGAGTCAAATGAGTAAAATATTCTGGGTTCTCTTTATAGAGCTTGAAAGGAATGAACTAATTATTAAGGAAACTTGAGCTGTTCCCAAATCAAGGATACACGCACACAAAATTGATTTTTTAGTCTTAAGAAGATTAGTTGTATAATACAAAAAAATGGTAATGCTGAATAACATTGGCTAGAGGAGCAAGGCAAATATAATCCAGGATATCTTATTTACTTTGAGTCTTAGGGAGATCAGTCAGTGAACTATAATGAAAGAATCAAGGAAATATCAGCAGGTCTTTTTTCCAGGATAAAGATTTGTGTCTGAGATATGTAACATTAAGTTTCTTTGATAAGAATATCTGCCAACACAGTGTCATCTGAGGGGAAAGGAAGCATCAGATCATCTCTGTTGTGTTTTCCTGAGGGGGCCCAGTTAGATGATGGGTTCAGATTGCCATCATTTATACATATCTTCAGAGTAACGACACGTGAGGATGACCATGTTTGCTTACTGCTCAGGTTGTAGGAGGAAGGTGTCACTAGTGGGATTACCAGTTAGATCTAGTGGCAGAAATTGTTTATTTTGTCTGGGAGATTCCTTTTTGTTGATCTTCCTGCATCAAGTTGCAAAATGTTTGTTGTCTATTGGATTAACAGCACTACAACTAGTAATTGAATTCTATTTTTTGTAATTAAACAAAAATGTTCCAAATGTTTTTGGTGAACAGAGTATCTGGTTTGTGTATTGTGGTCTGTATTTACAAGAAATATCTATAAGAAAAGTGTGCTCTTTGTGACTTCAGTTAATTTCAGAAAATTGTAAGAGTATGTGGAAGTATGCAGTGATGATTTACACACATGCACATGTATATGTTACAAGTTGCTGTCTTTATTTTCTTTCACAACAAAATTGATTTTGTGGAGTAACATCCATAACATTAATCTACAAGTCGAGACTTACAAGTATTGTTATCTCAGGTTTTGTTACATGATTACAAATGGTTCAGGAAAATAATTTGATTCACCATCTTGGGAGAAATGAATGTGAGCTAATCTTGCACAGTTGCTGGAGCCCACATTTTTTACTCAAATTTAAGGTCGGGATGATTTATACAGAAGTTTTACTGTTTCCACAGCTTGGTAAAAATTAATTAGTTTCACTCCAGGCAGCAGTGTTTTAATTGGATTCTGGCAGTGAAATAATGAAAATATGAAAATGATTAAAGCATAAAGCTTTTTTTGGCACATTTTCTGTGGACTCTTGTTAATGGAGTTCAATTCTCTGCAGGACAAATTTCAGTCCTTTGTTTTTATTCTAATTAATTGCTGCCCAGAGGAATATTTTTGAATTACATTTAGCAAATTGTTTTGCAGTCATTATCATATCCCAAATTCATCAGATTTTAGAACTTGATAAGCACTCTGCGTAAAAACCACACCAGTGTTAAAAGAAATTGTTCCCAAGCAGATTACAGCCTCCTCCATTGTAAGGTAGTGGGAAGTCTCCTTGTGAGCATGCAGTGGTCAGAGTTCTCAGGGTTTTAGTTCAAAACAAGTGACACAGTATCCTCTGTGTAGAAGACAGTAATGGCCTCCCATGATCTCCATAGCCCTGGGAAATTTACCTCGCAGACCATCAGGTAAATAAACTGTGCAACAGAGAAGTAAACTTTGTGCAGGTGGAGTGTTTAGATTGACGTGAATTGATGGTCCTTTAGTTGTGAATGTAAAAAGAACAGTTCTGACAGCAGTGGTAATCTTAACAAAGGGAGGAATTGAATGTCCCATAAAAAACTCGCAAAAGGCATGTGACAGTATGCTTTGTAATTGACCTATTCAAGCCTTAAAGCAATAATAACTCTTCCTTTGAGATTCAAAATTCCGCAAGAAATACATTGTAAACAACGCCTGGAAATATATTCTATTGCATTTTTCCACTAAAACGACTGTTACTGTAGTAAAACTAAAATCTGTGCTTGTCACTTGGGCTTTCGATGCCTTTCTTCGCGGTCGACAAGTGCATCCGTTGCCAATGACGTTTTGGTGTCACGCGGATTCTCGCGTTCATTCGAGACCAAAATAACATGGCAGGAAACCCTCAGACGTAAGTTGCGAGTTATTGTACAGTGCGTCGGATAACGAAAAGCCCAGAATTGCACACATCGTAGATATAAATGCATTTTGAGCAAAAAGACGAATATATCTTATGAATCTTATAATATTGTTATATAGTGTTGTTGTTGTCTGCTTTTCCCGCGGTTTTAAGTAGGTCACCAGAAACTATCGCTCGATACGAGAGGGCTCCGTCAGTTAAAATCTCTTAAGAGATTTTAACAAAAAACTGTACGTTTAGGAAAAAAACCCTGGATTAACTTTGAATGCAGGAATGGGGTCGTTGACCATTGGTAAGTACGGGAAAATTGCCATTTTTTCCAGGAAAATCGTATTTTTGGCCAAAACGAAGAGTTATTATGACTTTAATTGGCCTATCTGTCTCTTAGTGCTGAGGGAAGGTTTAATGTGTCAACTGTCAGGTTTTTGGTGGATTTGTAGTATTTGTCTCTGTTATATGACTTAATTGTCTTTATGACTTGATTCAGCTATATATGAATCCAAAATTCATTGTGACATTAAAATGAGCCCAACTGGTGTTAATTTATTCACAGCCAGGTTACTTGTTTCAGTTGGTAGAATGCATTATCCCATGCAGTGACATACTAGCTACAACTGGGCACCTCATTGTTGCTGTTCTGTTAAAAACAATGTGAAATAGCTGGATGTCTTGAATATCATTTAAAATGATGAAATTGTCAGGAAATTATAAGCAAACATCAGAGTATTTCTGAGAGATGACTGGCAGATAGTTCACAGTGGCTGACAGAATGAATTATTCTTCACTAATAGCATATTTTACATGACAGCTAGGATAGCTTACCACCATTTCTGGTCAATTGCTTAATCAAGCTGTAATGAAAAAAGATTCAATAGTAACTTGATATTATTTAGAGGATTTTAAACCTTCAGCCTAAAGGTTCATACTCATTCCAATCTGGAACAGCATTGAGTTAAGGAATAAATCTCTGTTAAAGGGAGGTCTTGGAAAGAACAGTATTGGCATTTCCACCTGCGAGTTAGCATTCCACCACATATCTGGGCCTGGGGTCCACCTAGGGGACTTAGTGTCCAGGTATGCCCATCTGCTTTACCTGCAGGCCCCACCTGTCTCACCTGACACCTGCACATCTGTCACATAGCTCTATGATAGGCTCTAGCTACAGACACCTGGATTAGTGATTGTATTGGCTGTGACTAGAGCTGCTCCTTGCTATGCTGAGAACTCTGCAAAAACAATCTTAAGTCTGTGAAGATTGTCCAATTTATTATGGTTGAAGGTATAAAAAAAAAAGGCAGCTGATGGTATAAATTTATAACAGTAACAAAGGCAGCTGAGGTAGAGTTTTTTTTTTTTTTTTTTTTTTTTTCAAATAAAGTGACTCTAGAGAAAATCTCTCCTTATTTATCATATTTATGGATATCATCCTTTTTTATTAAGAATTAACATGTTTTAGTCCATAGTGAGTTTCTTTATGCCTGTTGTCTGTGCTTAAGAAGAATTTTATTTGATTTGTCATTGTCACAAATACTTTTCACAAGGAGTTAGAAAAACCAAGCAAACAAAAATAAAACTTGAGCAGATGCTCACCTTGACCCAAGTCCTTGGCATTGTTTGTTGTTGTTGTCAGTAGCTTTGTTTCTGTTCTGGTATCCCGTGACTCCAGCACCTGGGAGGTCAGAGATGACAGGTGTCGGTCTTGGCTTGGGTCACTGGACAGTAGTGGACAGTAGTGGACATTTAAATTGTGTAATGTCCAGGCAAGACAAGACTAGAATCCAGTGATACCAGAAGAAAACTATAGATATATATTATTTTTATATTTAAATATATATTATTTTTGTAAGGTTCCATCTTCTTTTTTACAAGGCCCCTCTCTTAGACTTAAACTGTTCAGTAAGGAGGTGCAATACTCATAGCAACCAGAAGGCTCAAATTATATGAATATAAAAATACCAATTCACATTTTATTTATGTGGAATGTATTTTTTTTTCACTGAAGTTTTAATTTCATATTTTTATACCACTTTTGCAGTTAATGTCAAAGTCATAGCCATTGGATCTTCTCACTATCATTAAACACTATTTCTTCACTTTGAGTTAAAGCATGCATGTTTAATTCTTTTCCAGGTTCCAACCTACAATCCATATATGTCTCACACAGATCTGTGGCTACAGAGAATTCATCACAGAACTGGAGAGCGTTAGGAAAACACCATACTCATCAGAGAACAACAGACATGAAGAAATGTTACTTGAGGTATGATGTTTACTGCATTTTTTTTCTTACATTCATTATTTTGATTCTCAGAAGTGAATGTGTTACGTGTTAATCTGGGTGTTAATACCAACATGTGTTGGTATATAAACATAAAGCTTTGATGCATTTGCAAAAAAGAAAGAAAGAAAGAAAAAGGAGGAGAAAGAAGTAGAAGAAAGCAACCAACACATGTTTTGCCATGTGTGGCTGAGGTGTCACAATGTGTAGACCACAAAAAGAACACCTCAACAGAGAAAAGAAAGAAGAAAAATAACTTTTTCAATTGCCACATTTTTGTGCTGAAAAGGGCAATGATAAGTTCAGGGACACCAGTTCACACAAGTGTTCTCTGTCAGTACCTCCACTTACCACACACTATCTACATCATTGGCCTGGTATATTCATGTATTAAGTTACATGGAAAACACTGTTGTTACTGTCTAAAATATATATAATAGCATGGAGGTTTTCTACTCAGACTGATCACAATTCACTTGACTTGATGACACTGGAGTCCAAGCGTTACTTGTTCCACATAATACACTGTTATATCTGTATCAGGTGCCTGTATTTATGACAGTGTTTGTTTACTGGGTTGGAGTGATTGTTGGTTTGTAAAGTGGGGATAATAGTAAGAATTAGAAGATCATTGTATACCTTGGATGAGGGTCCATTCTAAAGAAGGGATTTCAATTGCTGGCCGTGAGATCAGATTTAATCTGCCCGGGAGGTGCTGGACCAGAGCTCTGCTTTCCTGATCATATTTCACTTTAAGTGCAACTGAAGTGACGTTAATTTCATTTTTTAAACTGATAAAATACTGAGTCAACATCGGTCTCTTTTTTAAGCTGATAAGACAGAGATTATTCCCAATATTATAGTCTCCTGTTCATGTTGTCTTTGTCATTTTTTAAGATATATTTTTTTTGTCATTTTCTTTTAAAGGGTTGGTTGGAATCTTGTCAAATTGACAATGCTTCCACAAATATTTGTATCTGTAATGTCAAGAAAAAATAAATAAATAAAGACAATGTTAAATAGCTATAACATGTTAATGCTGTTGTTATTATTGTTCTAGTTATGGCGGAAGCTGATGCCAGACGTTCCTCTCCAGTCCAGATATAACAGGCAGTGGGGAGACATTGGCTTCCAAGGTGACGACCCCATGACAGACTTCAGGGGAATGGGACTCCTGGGACTACAAAATCTTCTGTATGTATTTCACACTTTTCTTTAATGATTTGTATTATAATATACCCCCCTAATGATTTGTATTATAATATACCCCTCTACCAATCTCTAGACATTCAGACTACAGTACTCCCTCAAGTGATCTATGGCATGTAGATATGAGGGGTGTCAAGGCCAATTAGTTAGTTAGATATCAGATTATTGGGTTTCTTCTTAATTTGTGATGATGGAAGTTTTGGCATGTCATCAGGCTATGTCAGTGTACTGACAGCTGGGAGCCCCCCCCCCCCCCCTCCCCCAGGACGTGATAAAATCTGCTGAGCAAACTTGGACATCTGCTAGCTGTTCTAGTACAAGATCTAGACACCAGTCTCTATATTGGGATCTGCAATTTAAAAAGATGCAATGCAAACATATTGTTTATTGTGTTATAGAAAGATACTTGCCTTCTGTAATGCAGGGGGAGGGAGGAAGCACTTTCTGTTATGGTGCACCTTCACACACACACACACACACACACACACACACACACACACACACACCGGGGACACGTGTGTACACAGAGAGAGAGAGAGAGAGAATTTTCTTCTTTTGGTTCTGATTTAATGCAGATGAACCATCTGAAATGACATTGACACTGTCATAACTATATTTCTAATGGCAAGAAACATGGTTGAGGAAATAGTACACCAAGAATTAACAAGAAAATACAGGAACCAGTGCAGTAATACATGTTGCATTATACTGGAGACGAGAGTGACATGGTATATCAGTATGCACTTGGTGATCAAATACATATGACAAAGCAAACGGCCATTATTAGATCTATTTGAATTAAAAACCTGCGTAAGTGGCAAGTCCTGTAGACAAGGAAATGAAGGGCTGTCTATCAAAGCTCGCTGAGATCTGGGATTACTGCCACTTAAAGTGATGATAATGATACTAATGGCCAAATGACTAGTTTGAGCTGATGATGCTATCGCCAGGTTTGGCTTGAGTGACAGCGTGGCAGTTGGTACAAGGGGAAGGGATGGCACCGGTGGATTTCTTACCAGTATAATGCGCCACCAGTGATCAGAGACTGTGGCAGTTTACTTGTTTTAAAGGGAATTTCATGTTACATTGGGTTTGGTTTGGGGGAACCTCCCTTGGTGTTGCTATATCTAATAAGTCGTGGAAATGTATGCATAGGTGCATCATCTTGCAATTAGATGATTAAAGAAAATCATTCTTGTAAAGTTGTGGATTTCTTTTCTGAACAAAGTTGATAACATGGGTGGGACGTGCTGTTGTTTTGATAAAAACTGTGCAATTGCTCTTTATCCATGAAAGCATGAAATTGTTGTGGTATATACTAGCTGGAGGTCTTAAACCGAGAAACCACATTTGAGGAACAAGTGCATTAGAAAGAGCAAAATCTAGCTTGGATCCAGATGCAATGATATTTGTTTTTAAATCAAAGAAGGAATAACTTGTGTTATATATTGTGCCTGTTACCAGCAATTTCTAAAGTGGACTCTATTTCTGAAAAAGAGTACCTTTGTACCCATCAATTAATCCTTGTTAAGAAATTGCCCCCCAAAAAATGAAATTTTGCTTTAGTTAACAAGTTTTTGGACATAAAGGTGGTGAATGTCAATCCCCTCCCCCTACCTATCAGAAATAAATCCTATTTCTAGGTATGTCCTTATCTGTTTGTTCTATCTCAGTCTTGTCCTTGTTTCTAGTGCAATTTGGACATGCAATTTCAACAATTAATTATACTTTACATTTTATAATTAAGCCTTCCAGTTTATCGTGTGCATTTATGATAGTTGAATGAACGGATGTTGGCATTGATTTTAAGACGTGCATAAAAGTTGTATCATGTTTGTGAGCCATCAGAAATATCATATGAAGCATTTCATAGTTTTGATTTTTGTCTCTAAACTTTTTTCAATAAGATACTTTTTGGCATTATTTGCTATATGAGAAAATTGCAGTGTTTGATATGAATAAGTCAAAGGATTTTTTTGTCTGTTTCAGGTATTTTGCCACGCAGCATAACTCCACGGCAAGACAAGTGTTGGCTCACTCACACCATCCTCAGTATGGGTAAGACTGACCCAACCAGTATCATACCACTTATGACTAAGAGACCATTCCCAGAGACTATCATACTAATACTAATACTAACTTTGGATCAAACTATATCCAATGCGGATTCTTGTTTAATTGCAATTAACATGGGCGGCTTAGGTGTCTGTCACACCTGCTGAAGCTGATAGGGGGTAATTAACTATCGTTTAGCAGCTTAGGTGGGCGTCCCAGACGTCTAAGCTGCTTGGGCTGAAAGCAATTTAGCGAGGGACCCCGTGGAGATGGACCGATCCTGTTGGATCGATCTAGGCATGGGAACCCAGTCTAAAATTGCGTGGTGAATGAGAAAAGCACTCAGATAGTACTGACCCCCACCAAAGCAGCTCTCTTCTCATTATTAATTTATGGCTCACCAACAAAATTGGATATCCGTAACTTTTCGATTTAGGTTGTATACTAACAATTTAACAAAGGCAGAAAATACATAATGTCCTTGTCGAAGGCAGTTAAATGCTGTTGTGAGTATTTGCAGTGATCTGAAATTTAAGAAAGTTTCTGATGTCTTTAAGATACTGTGTGCTTTACCTTTTGACTGATCAGTTCTGTTCATAACCTCTAGTGTCAGTCACCTTAACATATGAAAAATAACAGATGTCGCCTGTGCCATATGTCCATATGATAGAACCTTTACATATATAGTTTTAGTAAGGATAAACATGTTTGTCATGTAAAGATTTCATTAGAAAATCTGCGGATTATTTTTCAAACACCTGTGACAAAGAAGAACACGTAGAACAAACAATGATGGTTTTATATTTCTTCCATTCATTTCTAACTCACAATATCAGTTTTCAATATTTCTTTGGTTTTTATAATGCTGTAAGGATAAAAAACTCTTTGACTTTGTTTGCTGAAAAGGTCCTACTCAGTCGGTATATGATTTTAAAAAAAGTTCAGTAAAAGATGTTCTGGCCTTTGTCAGACATGCACTTATTTAAGAAATGATAATAATGATAATAGCTCTATAATAAAGTATAATTACAAATTGCTGTATATTTCAGGTATTCTTTTGCTATAGTTGGTATTAACCTGACGGGGGTGGCTCATCAGTTGTTGATCTCAGGAGCTCTCAAGACACACTTCTACAATGTGGTACAGGGCAAACCTAAGCTAGATCACTTCCATCAAGTATATTGTAAGTACTGCCTGCCTCCTTGCCTGAACAGAATGGCTAACTGTTCCACGGCCCTGTTCACATTGAATGGAAAAGTTTTCTGTATCATACCACTTTGACTGGCCCTGCAATTACGTTATGATCTATTATCCTTCACAAGCCTCAATGTACCAATCTAATTGAATCCAGTAATCTGGTTGTTTCAATAGTGGGGGCTCCATTTAGGCGATTTTCTTACACTATTATGGCTAATAAGTTGTCAAATTCAAATAATGGTATGAAAAAACGTGAACTGTGCAGTGTAAAAAGGGCCTACATGTTTGGGAAATAATAGGTGTTTATTTGTGTATGCGAAAAGTAAACTGGTACATTTCTGGTTGGAACCAAACAGCATGTTTCTTACTATGAGAGATACATGTTTATTGCTGAGCTGTAGGATTCAAAGTTAATTTAGAGGTTTCACAATTTTTAACTGCTGTATACTGCTGTATTAAATGAATTCCTTGAAAAGTTAGAGAATAACTTTTTGTGAAAAAAAAACTGAATTTTGTTTCGCTTGTTCTTTTAGGCTATCTTTTCCATGAATTTGACAAGTTCTGGCTTGCAGAGAAGCCCCACATCATGGAGTTCAACAAAGTAAAGGCCAAGTTTGCTAAAAGGATTGTAATGCATCTGAAGGACAGAAATGCCACTTTATCTATGAAGTGTGTCACAAGTGAGGCTAAGTGACTGTCATTCCTTGAGTACGGCACTCTATGAAGTACAGATGGGCAGTAACACATGTCCCCCCAGCTCGGTGTCACCAGCCTCGCTGACTTCAAATGACAATCAGAAAATATCTTTTTATTTGGTGACACTGGTATAACAGCACGTCAGCGTTGTGAAGCTGTGGTTATGTGCATGTGTGTATCATTACTTGTGCTGCAGTCTGCTTGGAAGAGGAATCGCTGGTTATTCCGTCTTTATCTTCTCCTGCTAGGAGAGCTGATACCAAAGAGGTTAACCAATATTTAGGTCCTTCACTGTATTCTCTTGTTCATGGTGTAAAGCAATCGCTGTCAGTGATGTGATGGAAGGTGGTCAGTAAGTACTGGACATTGTCCAGTCAGTGATAAATGCAGGAGACCTAGCCCTGTGTCTTTGTGCTCTGGCAAAGTATGGTATGGTCTTGGTGTTCTTCCTGAAACTAATAATGCTGCTAAGACATACATTGCTAAGAAAATCTCCAAAGCTATCACATCTCCAGAGTTATCACATTTTTATATTTATTTTCATTGTTTTATCAAATCACGATGGAGTTAAGGATGTATTGCTGTAACAGTTGTTTAGTTTTGGGTGAAAAACATGTCACAGGACCCCTATCTCTGTGCACCTCAATGACTAAGCACCTGCTGTAACTACGGATGTACGTGGATATGTGCCCAGTTGTGCTACTTGCTATGTGATCAGCAGTGGTGTAGATTTAAACTGTTTCCCTAAGTACAATCTCTATGTATTCAGTGTCACAGGAATGCAGTTGTTTGAGAGTTGATGAAAGAGCACATTTGGATGGTCATCTAAACCTACGCGTTTTGAAGTAAGAGCAGGAGAGATTAATTCATTGTCTGTTTATTTTGTTCATTGCTTGTATGATCACTTTTTATAATCATGTTTAGGATGTTAAGGATGAAATGAAACACCACACAGAGAAGGGAATCTCAACTTCCAGTCTTATCTTCCAGTCTGTTCGGAAGTTGAGGCACCATTGTCAAACAGGTTCGATAAAATTTTGTATTAAAGAATATTTATTTATATTTCACTGAAGAAGGCCAAAAAAGAAGCAAAGTGTTGCTTTGATGTATCACTAATGAAATTTTTGACTCCAGCCAATGTAGTGAAGACTTTTATTTGCAAACATTACATTTTTATCGTTGTTTATTGTATAATACAGTTTAGACATTGAACAGTGCAATAGAACTTTGTGTAAGGTCCTGCATTCAGTGTGCAGGATTGACAATTACTACCACATGTTCTTAGAAAAAATTTATTAAAAAAACCCTAGAAATGTCACTTTGAGCAGGATTTTCTTGGGCATTTTGTTATATTGTCTTTTGATATGAAAAATGTAAATGAAATAAAATGAGAAAACTACTGATAAACACAGACTTCACAGACTTTTTTCAATGTAAATCGAATCCAGTTTAAATTTCTACTTGTAAATCTGGTTATATTGTCCATGTTGTCAGTTATGAAACAAATTGATCATGTTCTAAACGACAGTACATGTAGCCAGTTTTTGTTTGTGTTAAATAAAAGAGCGTTAAAATGAAGCATTTTAAGTCGCAGAAATCATGAATTCCATCCGCGTGTTGCTAGTACTCATTGGATATAATATGGGATGCCCAAACTCTTCTCCCTGCAGTGAGAAATTGACGTATAAGGCAGCCAACACAATGTTGGCGTCTTCGCGGTCGGAGTTGGGTCCCCATTGCGACAGCTGTGCACTAACACAATGCTTGGTTGAGAAAATAAGTTTATAGTTATCCTCGGAATAATAATTTTGTTACTTTATACTGAAATGGGCTATGCATCTAGGAAATATAAAGGGAGGATTGTATTTTTGATGAAAATTTTAAACAAAACGATGCATCTGTTCATAAATGCCAAATCTTGTATAACTTGGTCAAAAGTAAATTTACAAAGAGAGTTAATTGTAACTGGGGTATGTGCTGGTTTTAATTAAAATTGCAATGTAACATTTATCAGTACGTGATAATAATGACGTTTGTGACGCGTTTAGCTGGATGAAATACGGTTGTGCAACTGACTTTAAGTCTCACGCGGGTATCGAATATTTCACACTGAAAGCAAATAAAGATGAACAAGGTCAGTAACTCTCTGTCATTCCTGTCCTTTATTTGTGTGCCGGTCCTTCATCTTCCCACAGCGAGTACACCGTCCAGTAGATCATGTTGAAGATTAAGAAAGAGACCGGGAAAACCACTCTAGAGATTCTGTCCAGTGTACTGGCGCGGATTTCATGGCCCTGTCGTCTGGCTGGAGTGCCGTCCTCCGCGTCCTCCTTGGACTTGCTAGGAATCTATAATAATAATAATAATAATAATAATAATAATAATAATAATAATAATAATAATAATAATAATAAAATGATGATGATGATAATGATCATAATAAAAAATGTTTACTCAGCCATGGTATATATTCCTGATATTATAAGATATATAAAAAGGAAATTATGTTACCGTCCCAGTTTTAAAAAGATATGAAGTAAGATGGCTTAAAGAAATAGCTAAAAGAAATGGATTAAAATAAAAGCCATGGAGTGAAATACGGAGTGAAATACTGTGTTTTACACAGACTTAAAGACTTAAGAAAAGATATCCATCATTCTGATAGAGAACTTGATGCTGATAGTGAAATTTAAGCTTTTGGTTGTATTTTAAAACTGCATCTCCTTAAAGCAAGGGTATTCGATGTTTATGAATCCTGTGTACGAGTTATCTGGGAATAAAACAAAATACTAAAACAATTAGAAATGTGATTGTCAACGTCTGAAACTTAAAAGTTTATGGTTTATCACGTTATGCTTTGACGAGTCCATTAATTTCTCATTACGAAATTGCAACAGTTGAGACAATTTTTCTACTACTTTCAAAGGTGACATAAATAAATGTCAACAACATGTTCTTTACATGCGGCAAATACAGAGTGTTTTTCTAAAAGCCCTCTCTTACACGTGTATTTATGTTTATGATTTTTAGGACATTGTAAAAAAAAACTCTCAGATTTTCCTTTAATAAAATAATGAATCGTTTTCAAGCGTCTTCCTACTTGTGAAATATGCTCTTTTTAATAAGACAATCACAAAGTAGGCTTACGTTTGGTCTTCTAGTGCTCATCCGTGTGAACTTCCTATGACTGACATTAACGAAGGCGAACTCCAGTAGAGCCAGGAAGACGAAGAACAGACAAGTGGACATCCACACGTCAATGGACTTGATGTAGGACACACGGGGCAGTGTTTGACGTATGGCGTATGTCTGCGTGGTCAGCGTGAGGACAGTGAGGAGGCCCAGCGTGATTCTGGCCGGAACAGAGTCGTAGCTGATCCAAAACGCCACCCATGAAAGCGCCACTATCAGCATGCTCGGGACGTACGTTTGCACTATGTAGTACTGGATGTCACGTCTTAGGACGAATTCTATCACTAACTGAGTGAAATCACCTGGAAAGAAATAACTACATCCGTCTTTTGTGTCGTGATGATTTGTCTGTGTAAGTTAGGGGTGTGGGACCATTGTCGGGTAAGTTGTATATGTACTAAATATTTCATCTAACTATGCCATGGTGTTCACGAATAGTGTCTTTCGTATAAACTTAAAAATGCCATTACTTCTCTACTAAAGTCTTTATTCAAGAAGGAACAGTTTTCTCTAGAGTATTCTCAAAAATTAACCCCTTCGACCCAATCAATCCAATTACCATTCGAGATTGCACCGTCTAATCACAATGGATTCAGTGGGAGAAATCTTATTACCAGATCAATATGAAGATTTGGTTTTTCTACCCGTAGTGAGTATTATCAGTGTCATGGGAAACGAGAATAGGACCCAAATTACAGAAGACTGATTACAAGTGGCACTTTACAATTATAAGCATCAACGTATGTAGTAGAAGATAAAACTTGAGTCGCTGAAGCTATGCATATTCCACCGTAAAAAAATTAAATACACTATTGTCGACATACGAGAACTGTTTCCACTTTTGTAGGATTTCATCGACTCGTGAAAAGAAGTGTCCTCGAGGACGAACTGAGGCAGCGTCAGTGTGTCGGCCTTATCCAGCTCTTTCTGCTGTGTCCAATGGAATATGATGGTGTCCGTGCTGTATGCATCTGTAATACACGATACAATATTGTAAAATCTATACTGCTTTTTAATGATGGGTGATACTTTATACATATGTTTGGTAAGAATCCATTATTTGTATTATAATTGTAAATGAATGCAAAGAAAAGTTTTACCTCCATGCATATGCGAAATACAAAAATGTACAAGAGAAATTCTAAACTCATCAGATAACCTTATACAGTGTACGTTAAAAGTAATAAACGAGAGAGAGAGGGGGGGAGAAAGAGAGAGTAAAGATTACGTACAACTTTCAATAACGAGAGCACAGACTTGCGTGTCAAGAGGAAACTTTTCCAAGTGCATTGGGCAGTCAGCAGTGAGAGAGATTCTAAAATACAAACGTTAAGATTGTGCAATAACGATCAAATCTAATCACTATCCATAAGCGTTTATGATAAAATATTGCCACGCCATTTACAGGACAACGAACTTACTCTTAAAAAAGTTTTTTTTTCTAAGAGACATACACTTTGTATATAGATAAAAAGGTAAGATGGTTTCTATTTCTGTCATGTTTCAAACGGGAAGGTATATATCCTTATTCCCGAGTTAATAAGAAGAGAACTTAGCAGTCTGTATATCGTATTGCCTATATCCGTATCACATAAGTGGGGGTGGGAGGTTTGCATGCCAACTCTTAAATTATCAATACTAGAAAACGTGAATTGGTCACGTGTACCTTGAACTAAAGAACACAGTTCCATTACTGTCAATGCGCATCAGGTGATTGGGGGTGGTAATGGAGTGAAATCTCGCGCTCTTCTCGTTGGAAAAGAACAAGTCTGGCACCCACACGTCATTCACTTTCTTAGGGTCTAAATTGATCTCCGAGATATTGTAGATTTCAGGGTCGAAACTTAACCTAGAATCTGTCCACGTTCGTCTTAGGAATATGTTCATAGAATAATCCTGGAAAAAAATATGCACATTAAGTTAATTAAAACTTCCCTCAGAAGAGTTAGGTAGGCAATACGAAAGTAAAACTGTCTGCGGACAAAAAGATTCGGTAACAGAGAAAACGATTGGCAACAGAAAAGAAAATTATAGTAATGCATTTATATTATCTAATATAATCTGATGAAAAGGAACAATTTTTATGGCTATTCATTTCGGTTTCTGCGGTTGGCTAACAGTCTGTTGTCTACTTATACAATATGTGCACTTGAGATACCAGACATGTCTGGGCCCACAATGAGTTTACCGTATTGGTAACTAAGGATCCTAGATTTATGTTTTCCTATTTAGACCATTTTATTACCCGGCCCATGGTTAACTTGCAACACAGCTGAAATATTGCCTATTTCACGACTACTTAGTTATTTCGGACAGTTTCTTCGGACATAAATACTGTTGCGGTCATTCTCTAGCCAATCCACCTGTCCATCTGAAGGCCATGCATCCTCGCTTACTGCCTGGAGATGCAGATTCATGGTTTGCAAGGCAGGTGTAGAATGTCGAACTTCTGGTCAGTTATACATATGTTTGTAGATACAGCTAAGTAAATAAAGCACGGTATGAGATAAATCAATACTGATTGAATACTTGGAATATTAGCCAAACTTACACCCCATTCTCATAGATTAGATCGACCTACATTGGATCGACCTAACTCCCTGGGGGTTCACGCTAAATAGCTGTCAGCCGGGCGAACACGAAAGTTAATTACCCCTTAAAGCTTGTAGTAGGCGGGGACGGACACTTAAGGGGGATTATCTGACAGTAATCTAGTGAGACTCCCCGCGGTGATAGATCGATCTAAAAGTTGTGAGAACAGAGCCTTAATTATGAAATCCCTGGGAACTGCAGCTGCAATGTTTCTAAGATGATCTTAATATCACAGCCGATGATTGCGGACTTAGGCTTCGTTCACATGCAATGTCTATTTTCTATTTTCTATTTTCGGTATGTCTTATGATCACGGTCTGTCCACTGAATATCCCGCGGCGTAATTACTGGCAGCGCGAGCCAGTTACTATAAGTTACTATAAGTAACTGGCTCGCGCTGCCAGTAATTACGCGGCGGGATATTCAGTGCACAGACCGTGATCATAAGACATACCGAAAATAGAAAATAGAAAATAGAAAATAGACATTGCATGTGAACGAAGCCTAAATTTGGCCAGTAAGAAAAGAGATAAACAATTTTAAGTAAATACAGTACACTGTAGCTGTGTATTACTGTAGCCAACACACACATTCAGAGAATGTTTTTTAACATATCGAACGTGCAATTATGTAGTTCCAGGGGCGTTTTTGTTCCTACGTTCCAATTACCTTTAAGTCAGATGAGAGTTAGAAGTTGTTTTTCAGTTCTAAAGAGGGAACTTCGACAGGTATTTACGAAATGATTGTTACCAGGCATACTTCATAGATTTTACTGACAGTCCTGTTCTGTCGTTTCTTGTGTTAGGTCAGAGGGAATGTAAATTTCGGATTAAGGGATTTTTCATTCCAAAGAGCAACTATCAGTAACAACAGTTCGGCATTGTTTGTTTATTAAAAAGGCCTCTACAACGTTATCTTTTTTCATTTATATTATTTTATTTATTTATTTATTCATTCATTTTTTTTTTTTTTTTGGTTTATTTATTTATCTATATGTCTTTTTTATTATTCTTTAATCTACTTATTTATTTATTGTTTTTGTTTGTTTATTTGTTTGTTTGTTTGTTTGTTTGCTTTTTCATTTTGTGGTGCAATTCAGAATCTTGTCGACAAAAATGTGAAACATGCCTTTTCTTCAATAGTTTGTCTTCCGGATGTTTTATCTCCGGAAAAAAGGGATAATCAAAAAAAGCAGGCAGCTTTTTTGTTCTCCACGTGCTCCTCTACAATCAAGAAAAAAGTCAGGGTTGTACAGTATTTCAAACGGCCAACAAATTACTTGAGACCGTTAATGAGTCCGTTCCCTATATGAAATGTGAGCTTGGGCCAGAACCCAGGTGATAAAAAACAACCTACTCAGCTTGTTATCACTCGCCCGTATCAAGGGTCTCTTGTAATGGTTTGCCATCTATGCAAACAACTCTTCGCCATGTTTTTCACAAACACGAAAATACAATTTCAAAGAAATACATCTGTATGCAACAGGCATCTCTGTCGTGAATAAATCATGAAGTTGTTCATCTGATTAAAAACATTACATGACAAGAAACAAGTTGGTTTATTTTAGATATTAAATGGATATGTGAACACAAAGGAGGAGGAGAAATCCCAAAATCCCAATTTCTTCCGAGAGTTAGATAATCCCCTACAGTAAGTTAGCACTTATCAGAGCCTTAGGCTGCATTCATAACACCAGACTAACAGATCCTCGGATCAAATGTGGCCGACCCACCTGAATGTGCTTGGTGCATAATACCTGCGGAAAATCTATTCATTGTCTATTAGAGAATTACGCAGTAAGCTTTTAACTGGGTCGCCATATTTGATCCGCGGATCCGTAAGTCCGCTGTTGTGAATGTGGCCTCAGAGTGTGTTCAGAACAAGTTGATCCGAGGACTAACAGGGGATTACGCGGCTTGCTTTTTTAAAAGCTTAAAAGTCATATTTAGGTCGCGGATCAGTAAGTCCGTGGATCATCTGTTCTGAACGCGCTCTGAGTGAGACCACCATGTAAAAAGCTGCTGTTCTTTCCACTGGTAATGTTTACCAGAAGAAAAGGTTTCATGTGGTATAAGGGAATACGCAATGTAAACGAAAAAAAGTTCACGGAGAATGGAAAAATAAATAATGGTCTCCTTCCACTCTGCCACTTGGTTGCCAGGTGGAAGTAAAAGGTTTGAATGGATTGTTTATCAACAAATTGTCTTTAACTTCATCTTTTACACGAATACTAGTTATCTATTTTACTTAAAATTCACTCTTTCAAAACATTATCACTCACATTTTTTATGGAAATGGAGTCGTCCCATATTTTTCATTTCCTTCCTGAAATTACTTACCATACTCAGCTCGTTAATAGAATCAAAGTTATTCACGAATATTTCAATTTGAACTTCAACCGGGTAATCTGAAAAACAGCAAAACAGCAAAGTTCGTTTTACATCACGGTGAAGAATGTCACTATAAAATATTTATCAAGTTGAAGATGTTAATATGTTCATTTATACATAAATATGGATTATGAATCCTATATGAAACCACGACTACCCGAGGTTGAATGGTTAAAAAAACAAATATCTTATTCTGGAAGAAGCAAACAGAAAATTGGCATAAAGTAATGCGACTAAGGATTGTTCGTGTCTTCGTTTTAGCTTCCACGATCAGTAAAATATGAAGTTATTAAGCAGCATACCAACCTCATCGTGTGTCCGATATATAAGGCATCAACAAGAACTGGGCAACATGTCATCATTAAAATTTACGTCTCTAAGATCTAAATTATTTTTTTCATACCTGAGTTTATATTTGGTGGTAAACTGGCATCATACCCATTAAATAATTCTGTCAGAAGGCTGGACCTGAAAACACATGTAACAGTGGACTTATGTTGACTTACTATCTCAATTATCATTTCAAGATTGTTGACAGATATTTCTAGATATTAATTGGGTCCTTACACAAAAAAGTTAATTTCTAAGTCACGTCGGTGACGCACACATATTGTGTAATATTTGAATAATCCTCACTGCCGCAATCTTTTCTCTAATACGTATTACATGTATTATAACTCCCAATATGTAAATAAATCAACAGTGATTAAAAGTTATATAATTGTTGTGTAAATAATATAATATAATAAATATATAAAAGAATATAATATGATATAATATAATATAATATAATATAATATAATATAATATAATATAATATAATATAATATAATATAATAATGACACTGATAAGATTCAAATATATTCACTTTTGTTTTGCAAGATGGCCAAACTGTCAAACGTAAACATATAATACAAAGAAACTGAGACAGGCACTTTGAATCAGTTCACCTCTCAAGGAGATGAATCGACTTATCTCACTGGCAATCTTAATACGCTGTCTCATTGCGTTTAGCTCGCCATAGGGGCCACATCTAATCCTTCTGTTGCCCCATCCACGGCCAGTGTAATACAGGTAAGTTGCATGCCAGCCGATTGGCTTCCTAAGGTGAACTAAGCGTAATCAGACGACCTGCTTAAATGGACCTTACTAAGATAGACCTGCCCATCTAAACTGGAAACTCATGACTCATGACCCATTCTGTTCTATACATGATTTAGCTGGATGAGAACTGGTATATATAGGAAGCAACTACTAGTAAATGTTGCAAAATAACAGTGAAGGTCAATTTAATCTATAACAACCAAACGTAAGTTTTGATGGATCCCGGACTCGACATTCATGTAATATAAATAGAAACGCTGTCCATAATCAGAGAATGGGCTAAATTACTAGTGACATACAGTAAATGAGCAAGCAAATCTAATAAAATATAAAGATGGAATAGCCACTGCAACTTTTTTTTTTTTTTTTGTGAACACAGATGTGCAGTTATCTAAAAGTCCCATTTGAAGCAGATGCTGTAATGCGCGCTATGAGCGAAAGACCCTCAGAATTATTCCCCTGGTGAGTTCTTGGTTAGAGAGTTTTAAACAAATTACCAGAAATAGCGTACCGGGGATGTTATACTAGTGTTGCAGGTCAAGGCTCACAGCTATAGTACAGCTGAGTAAAACTACGTCGTACATTTTTTTTTATATATTACCTACACCCCTCCCCCTTGTCTCTATAAAATGTGCACATAGTTACAACCTATTAATTTACCGAACGCAGAGCACGCAGTGCTGAAAGGTGTATAATAGCAAACTGGACTTGATACAATCCAGGTACTCTATGTCCAGAAATATTGGCCATTGGGTAAATGTTTATAAAAGAATAAATATATATGACCCCTGCTTAAGATGGCGCTTGCTAAGACCGCATAGGTGTGCTGCACCTGGTGTAAGTGCCATAAGCCTTGTTTAAAAGTGGAACATCAAGCTGCGCTGGTTTACCGAGTCAATCTGTTCGCCACCCTCCACCCCCCACCCCCCAAACACACACACACTCATCTAATAACCATGATTTACCAGGCACCACCCACTTTGCAAACGAGTTTGGTTTCTATTGAGCGTACAAATCAGCCGGCAGATGAGTCTGGTTCGCTCTACTTGCTGTGGCACATATAGAGTAGGCCCCATGACAAGGAGACCACATGCTCTGGCCGCCACTTGAATGGAGCGCCATGTAAAGGCGTAGTTAGTTTTTACAAAATCAGAACCGTAGCTGATATTTTCCATAGATG